TTTTTTTTGGTTTTTCTCCGGTACCGGGAACCGAACTCACGACCTTGCACTTGCCAGGCAGGCGCTTTTGCCGCTGAGCTAAATCCCCAGCCCCTCTTTTCTATTTTTTAAAGTCTTGCTATGTGATCCAAGATGGCCTTGAACTCACTACGTAGCCCAAGCTGGCCTTGAATTCACAACAGTCTTCCTGCCTCAGCCTTCTAAGTGCCAAGGTTACAGGCGTGTACCACCACACCTGATTCCAGTCTAACATTTTTGATTGACAACTTCTCTAGCAGAATAGCACCTCAATCTATCTCCTGCACTGAGCTTGTTGCCATGGGGACCAGTTCAAGTCCCGCCCTCTCTGCAGAGCCCTCCCTGACCCATGAAGCCCACAACACTGAGTGTGATGTGGTATCAAGAGGCCAAACTCTAAAGCCACAGCTGGGCTGTAGCTGTGTGGCCTCGGGCAGTCATCTCACTTCCCTGAACCTCATCTTCCTTCCACTGTGAGGACTTGGCAGCACCCTCTATCTCGACTCCTGCTGCCCACAGGGCCCTCGCTCAATGCTGGTTTTATCCTCTTCCTCCTCCTGGCCCAGGATGGACTGGAGCTAAATTCCAGCCCATGTCACTTCCCAGACTCTCTACCCACGAGGGGTTCAAGTCCTGAGTGAACCCCAAGGATCTGCAGTGGTCCTCATCAGCGCATACACTTAGGCCCTGGACAGGACCGCTGAGTCCTACCAGACTCCTCGTAGTTTTCTGTCACTTCCCATCCAATCATCTCAAGCCCTTCCTCTCCCTTCAGCTCTCAACACTCACAGATGGGTTGATCTTCCTCTAACACAGGGACTGGCTCAGTTTTCCTAAAAAGAACCAGGTAGCAAATCCCAGGCCCTGCACGTCTATAGTCTTGGTCACAACTACCCAACTCCACCTCGGACGTGCAAAATCAGCCTTACGCAGCCTGCGAACAAAGGTGCACGGCTGAGTTCCCGTGAAACCGCATTTCAAACATGGCGGCAGACTAGACTCGGCCACCTGCTGTGTACACTCTGAACACCCTAAGGGCAGGACCCAGGCTCCAGTCACATCTGTGTGCAAATTCCCTGATCCCTACAGCCGAGGAGTGTTGGTTGGAGACTGAATTAGGAAAACAGTCCCGCCTCAGGTTCTTCCATCTGAGAAGGTTCTGGGGGAATGAGAAGGCTCTGGATGGAATGAGGAGATGGACACGGTTACCTTGGCCAAAGGCTGACCACAGGACAAAGGCAGGAGCTACTACTCTCTGCGGCTGCCTCTTGTCTCTGGGGATGCAGACTGATGTTTTTAACAACAAGTCAGGAATCTCAACCTTTTTGTTATAAACACCCTGTGTTTATTACATTTCATGAGCCCAGCAAAGCATGTTCACAAGGCAGACTCAGGCTACTGGATTGCAGCAGCCGTAACACTTCTGGGCAAAGAAATAAAGAACCTGAGAAATAAACACAAGAATAACAAAACATAGATTTTAGCTGCAGCCTGTTGCTTTTCAGTCACAGTTGGGGGTTCCCTTTGTCCAGGTGGATTAACAAAAGGTAGAACAGATTCCTCAGCGCCATTATAGTCTTTTGTGCGAGACGAATCTTTCTCTAGTTGAGGGGAAATTCATCTGAGGATGAGACACAAAACTGAACATCTCTAAGTCCCTTCCAGCCTCATCACTCTGCGTGCCAGGATAATTTATTCTGTGAGTCATCAAGACATGGTCCTCCCTGTCCCTGTCCAGGCCTACCACCTCCCAATTCCTTTACTGTCTAAGGAAGTAAACAGGACTTTGTAAGTATCACTGAACAGAAAAGGATACAACAGTGCACTCAACAGAATTTGTGGTTTCCTTTCCCAGGTGCTGGTCCCCCCAAGAAGTCAAAGTGGCATCTTACCAAACCTGCTTACCCGGCTGGACCAGATGCCTGACTACTCCATCTTCCGGGGCTACATCATTGCAAGTACCACAGTCCCCCAGACCCCTGGCTCGGGTCACCTGGGGGCAGGAATCCTCACGGGCTCTGTCTCTTCCCTCCACAGCACTATAATCTGGCAAATGTCATTGAAGCTGCTGATGCTTACACGGTATTTGCCCCGAACAATGCCGCCATCGAGAATTACACCAGAGAGAAGAAGGTCACCACTCTGGTAGGTATCTGGAACGAGAGCCAGGAAAGCTATTTCCTGGGAGTTCGAACACTCGACCCCTCAGCGCCCACAGACACAGGCAGGCAGGCATCCCAGGACCCTGGGAGGAGACTCACGGTCTTCTCTGCTCCTCCTTCTGGTCTCTCCCTGGGCCTGAGCGGCCAAGAATGCCAGCAGCAGGACCTAGCGGGGTGAACCCTCCCTCCCCTTCTCCTGTTCTCATTTTCCCAATTCCTAACATCTGGGGTAAACAGGTAAAGTTTGTCAAAGAATTCTGTGAATCAACTGAGAGGCTTCAATCATGATCTTTGGCCTCAAACCCAAGGGCAGGTCCCCTTTCTTATGGGACCAAGTGTGGGCGACCCTGCCCCTGAGGATGGGAAGACCTGCTCCCTGGCCACACTTTATTTTCTACTCGGTGGTGGCTCCAGAGTTTTCACACTGGAGCAGCCCAAGGCCTCAGCCCCACATGGAAGATGTGTATGAAGTCAGTTTGCACAACCAAGCGCAGTTTTCACTTCTGTCTTCGCAGGGAGACAGAGCTGAAGGTGCTAATAAGATGGGGCTCATGCTTGGAATCCCACTGAGCCACCTTGGGCCTCTGCAGTTCCCCACCCAGGCTCTGGGGAAACTCAGTGGTCTAACCAGAGATGTGGGCTCATGGACCCTAAGCATTGCAAAGACACCTGGGGCCATTGTTTTTACACACCCAAACACACACGCTGGCCCCCATCAGGAAGGCTGCCCTCCCCTTTCCTATCTCCTCAACCCCCCTACCTGGTCCCTGTCCAGTCCCACCACCTCCCAGAGTGGCTGGTCCAGGCTGCCTCTCCTGCCATGTCCCCCCTTACCATGTACCCGCGGCATGAGGGACCGTCTGTCCAGGTCATGGGTCTTAGCTTCCCACCACGAGGGCAGAGACGATGTCGAGCTCCTGTAACAGGGACGACAAGCAGGTGGGACTCCCAGGATAGAGTCAGGCACCATCTTTACTGTCCCTGCCCCTTTCCCTTTTTCCTGCTTTAGAATGAAACTTCAGGCGGTCTCATAATCTTTCTACCTCCCCCAGAAGTCCTAAAGCCATTTTAAGCTACAAACACAGCCTGGGTTAAGTTAGATGATGATGATGATGATGATGATGATGATGATGATGATGATGACGATGCCCCTGCTGTGATCTGAATATGGTTTGAGGTTCCCCTTGTTTTATACGTTGGTTGGAGGTTCGCTGTCTACGTAGCGATGTGGCGAGGTGGGGGATTTCTGAGGCTGAGTCCAGTGCCGGACGATGAGGTCATTAGCGGCTCTGCCTGGGTTGGCCTGGGCCTCATGGAGTTCGGGAGTTGTCCTCAAGACCAGCCCCTTCCCCCTCTGGCTTCCTGTCTCTCTATGTGATTATTTTTCCCTTAATTTCTATGCGTATCAGTCCGTGTTAGCTCTGCATAAAGATTGCCTTCACCAGGGTAGCTGGCATCTGTGCAGAACACACCTCCATTCCCTTTCCATCCCCTTCCCTCCTCCCTCACTCCTCCCTCCACTGCTTGGTGCCATTTGCAAAAGATCTATCTCCCTGTTTCCTATTAGCTGTCTCTTTTTTTCTTTGCTCTTTAAATTACTTACACTTTAGGTTCTCCTAGGAGATTTGGGTTCTCATATAGGTGTCTGATTTATTTCACTTAACATTATGGTGTCAAAGTGCATCCATTTTCCTACAAATGACTCACCTCTTTTTTTGTTGTTGTTTATTTGTTTTGTTTTTTGGAGACAAGATCTCATGACATAGTTCAGGCTGGCCCTGAACTCAACTGTATCTTTCTTGATAGCAGAGTAGTTAGTACTCCGCTGTGTGTAAATACCACAGGAGTTCACGCCTTGACAGTGACACCAGCCCTGAGGCCCTCACCAGAGACCAAATAAGTGGGACCATCTTGGACTTTCAGCCTCCAAAACTCTGAGATAAACAATCCTCCTTTCTTCATTAAGAGTCTACCTGCAAGCGTTTCGTTATAGCAAACAGAAAATGAACTAATACACAGTTCCTTATCTTAACCAATGTTTTGAATTGGATTGGAAACCATCTTCCCTTTCTGCTCAGTGAAGTGAGTGCAGGCGGGAAGCTGCAAAAGAGAGCTGAGTCCTCAGCCAGGGTCCACCAGGAGACCCAAGCCACACCAGTTTTGTTGTTTTTTTTTTTTTTCCTCAAAGGGAAGATTTAATAGTAGGAACTGTTTAGTGAGTTTAAAGCCACATAAATATACCTGAAAAGTAAAAAAGAAAAGATGTGGGGGGATTATAGGGGTAGTGCCTGCAGGAAGCACAGAACACTCCCAATACTGAAAGAACAAAAGGAAGAGGATAGAATTCGTAAAATTTAGAAACTTAAAGTGGAGCCCAGTGGATCTGAAGAGGGTTGGCCACTGTGAGCATGGGAAAGGGTGCTCGCAACTGTGAGCATGGGAAAGGGTCCCTGTACACCCAGCTGTCCCTGTGGGCCCAGATGGCACTGCCGGGCTGGTGTCTCAGAGGTAGGGAGGATGTGACGAAGCTGGACCTCAGGTGACAGGAAGCTGTCACCCAGACTCAGCTGCCACGTGGGAAAGGGAAAGAGGGATGCCACACATTCTTGCCTGATAGGCAGAGGCTCAAAGCAAGCCACTAGCCAAGGAGAGGGAGATGGAGACGCAGCTCCACCGCACAGATCAGAGTGTGGGAGCGAGGCTTTGGAGCTGGGAGAAGTGACTTTGTATCCTCCTTCTCCCCGGCTCTGCATTATCCCTTATTCTGATTCCTGCTCTCAGTAAATTCAGTTTTGGTTTGATTAAGGCTGAAGTCGAGGGGTAGGAAGTGTTGGTGGTTAGGAAAAGACATTGAAGCAGAAGGAAGAGGGTAAGAAAGACCTTAAGAATCCAGAGCCCACTCTGATCCACCAGCTTGGGAGCCACATCTGGGTCCAGGAGACACCCCACTCTGTTGCCCCAAGCCAGCACTGTGGGTGTAGTCTGTCTTCATGCAGTGACAACTCTCCTGACCCAGTGCTGAGCAGATGACCAGCAGTCCTTGGCTTATGAGTGCCGGGGACTAAGTCAGACCTCATTGCAACAGATCACCTCATCTGGAGGGTTACGCTCTCTGAAATGTCCCCTCAGGATCCCCAAGGAGAAAACAGGCTGGGTGTGGGGATCTCTCAGTCTCTCTGTCTCTCTCTGTCTCTCTCTGTCTCTCTGTCTCTCTCTGTCTCTCTCTTCTCTCTCTCTCTCCAGCTACTCTGCCCAAGGAGGTCATCTTCAAAATCCACTCCCAACTTTCCTACCTTCCATGTGGGTTTTAGAGTCACGTGACAAGTTCCTGGGCACCCTACTTGGAAATTTTGCAAATTCTCCAAGGTGATCTTTTCACAGCTCACTTTATTATTGAGTACATTCCACATCTTGATGCCTGGCCAATGTATTGAGTACATTCCACATCTTGATCCCTTGCACTGGGATGAGCCGCTGCTGCCCTTTGTAAGCCCGTAGTGCCAGCAGGGTGGGTCAGCCAGGACCCACTGTGCTGATGTGTTGGCCACCTCCCCCGTGTGTGTGGTGCAGGAGGAAGACACGCTCCGCTATCACGTGGTCCTGAAGGAGAAGCTCCTGAAGAATGACCTGCGCAACGGCATGCACAGGGAGACCATGCTGGGGCCCTCCTACCTGCTTGGCTTCTTTCTGCGCAATGACCAGGTGCAACTCTTTTATTTATCACCCAGGCGTGGGTGTCTTAGCTCTTAGCAATGCTCATCTCTTCCACATCGGAACAGTCTGCCCTGAACTTCCTAAGCCTGATCAACACAAAGGTCATGACTAACGCACTGCAGCTTCCTCTTGCCTAGCCTGCTGTCAGACTTCAGTAGCCAGGGTGGCCCATGAATTGTGGGATTTGGACCCCAACAGTCGTAGGCACTTCCACACTGGTACGGCAAACCCAGGGGACAGTCCCCACCCCACTGGTCTCCAAGCTGCAAGGGAACCTGGGAACTCACCGGCCTCCCAGGAGGTGGCATGGCTCCAGGAGCCCAGTGGCACATGTAGGACACAGCCGCCAAATGAATTAACATGATAATCACTGTGCAATCCCCAACCACCGTGCTGGCATGCCAGTGCTTATGTCACACAACACCTAAATATTTAAATCACTAAATATTTAAATATTTAGTTTTTTAAATATTTAAATATTTAAATTTAAATAAAATCACTAAATATTTAAATACCTAAAAATTTAAATCATAAAAAAGAATTAGTGACACTAAATGTTTAACAGATTTCTTTTTTTGTTTGGTTGTTGTTGGGGTGGTATGTGTGTGTGTGTGTGTTTGTTTGGTTTGGTTGGATTTTTTTGAGGTAAGGTCTTACTATGTAGTTCAGGCTGTCCTTGAACTCACCATGCAACCCAGGCTAGCCTTAAACTCTCACTGATCCTCCTGTTTCAACTCGCCCCCCTCCCAGTGCTGGGATTACAGGTGTGCGCCACCACACCCAGAAACTGTTATTTCTGAAACCGGGTCTCACTGTATAGCCGAGGCTAGTCTTGAACTCACAGCAATCTTCCTGCCTCAGCCTCTTAAGTGCTAGTATCACAGGCATGTGCCACCATGCCCAGTTTAACTGTTAAATATATTTCAAACATAAAATCTTATTTGTGTACCTTAAATGTCAAGTGAAAAGATTAATCTGTAAAATTTTAACAAGAAACTCACAGTGAAATTCTAAAATAAATCCTCACAAGAAAAATTAATAAAAACAAATTGTCATGTAAGAATCACTAAGACTATTGGAAATGAAAGTTTTAAGCAATAATATTATTTAATTCTTTTTAAAAAGTAATCTGAGAAACAATTTCTTCAGTGGTGTCAGCCCTGAATCACAAGTAAATTTTTGTAAAATTTTTTATCTATCTGTGGTTCAAAAAAGACTTTCCTACTCTTTATTACTTGGAGAATAATCTAACTCCAAATATTTTTCAGACTCTTCCAAATAATTCCACCTAGTGTAATAACTTTGAGATACATTTTCTAATATTTCTTGGCAACTGGCAATTATAGTAATGACAAAATTGAGTTTTCATTTCTGGTTTTGCTTTCATCTGTCATTTTTTATTTCATCATGCAGAGATGGATAGTTCAGTGTAATTAGTTAAATCAATTTCAGTGTTGTAACTGAATGATGTAATTCATTTTGTCCAGAAATTCTTTTATCTGGAGAAAGAATTATTCACACAGCAGAGGCTTTGCGCTTTCGCTGATAGTCATCTATCTTTCTGTGACATTGTAAGCATAGGAAGAATGCTCTCCAGGTGAGTAGGTGTGTTTAAATCAAACTTTTCATGCAACCCATAATTCTCCGAATACATCTCAGGATAGAAGTGACTCAGCCCTCTTTAATACCAAGAGAAATAGCATTATAACATCAAACGTTCTGCCATGTGTGTACCTACAAGTAGCTCAGCATCTTGGAATTCTGGAAATTTGTATTATAATCACCACTGGAGACCAAATAAGGTTTCCTGGTGGTTTTCCAAGTGAACACGGAACCTTGGAGCCCCTCCGTGGAATTCAGCCGCGATTTGTCTCGACATCTAAACAGAGATTCATTTCACTGCAGAGAAATCACAGGGGACCTTCGCATCCAGAAGAAATTCAAATTTAGGCAGTTAGTAGATCATTTTATTTTGTTTTCATTTTTTTGGTGGTAGTGGCAACTGAACTCAGCCTTTGCACTGAGCTACATCCCCAACCCATCATTATTATTATTATTGTTATTATTATTATTATTCATTTTGAGACAAGGTCATGCTAAGTTGCCAAGCTCCCTAGGCTGAGTTTGAACTTGTGATCTTTCTGCTAATAAGGACCTTTTAATATTGCTCAACTGGGAATGCTGAGGATATTATTGCATGTATTATCTTACGAAGTTTAAAACTTCACTGCTTACTAACTTGATAACTACTTAGTATAATAAAACATTTTCTCCTTGTCCAAACCTCAGTCCTGCTATATCTAGACACACACATGCACACATCACTCTATTTTTAAAGAACCATTGATTTTCCTTTATACTCACTGTACTAATGAATTGATGACTTATTCACTACTGAATTAGTGGCTTCATTTATTTTTCATGAATCAATCATTAAAATATCCTTCCCTATAAGAAGTTACTATTAGGCATGGCACATACATGTAATCCTAGCACGTGGGATGCTGAGGCAGGAAGATTGCTGTGAGTTCGAGGCCAGCCTGGGCTACAAAGCAAGTTCCAGCCCAGCCTGAACTGCATAGCAAGACTCTGTCACACACACACACACACACACACACACACACACAAGAAGTTACTATTTAAAGTGGAATTTGGCGTGGCAGCAGTTAGACACTGACTTAGTCCTGTTGTCTGGGGTGTGTATGGATACTCTAGATGAAGAAGGATCGGAACATACCATCTTTTGAATTCAGCCTTTCTGAGAGTTTCCTGCAATTCCCTGTGCAGCAGAGGGGAGCTGGAGGGACAGGCTGCGCTCCCCGTGTGTTTGGGTGTGGGAGGGCTCACATCTTAGAGTCCCCAGGCCACAGCTCAACTGAGACTCCACGCAGCTGTCTTGCCAGTGGGCACTAACATAATGATTATAAGGCAGTATTTTTAAAAAGTGAGGAGATGGAGAGCTAAACCACAGATCATCTAGAACGACCTTTCCTCTTCCAAAGAGAAAGCCACAGCAACTGGCCTGGGGACGCATAGCTCAGTAAGGCCACTGTGCGAGACTGTGACTCCCCTGGCTTGGGCCGGAGCTCTGTCCACTACAGCATGCTGCTTTCTGGGTGAACGGTGCTGGGACCGCCCATGCTGTGGCCACACTGACGGTCCCCACTGGCCATCTTCCCCACCTGCTTAGTCACTGTAATAAAATCCCGTTTCTCCCTCTTGTTCACAGCTCTATGTAAATGAGGCTCCAATAAACTACACCAATGTAGCCACTGACAAGGGAGTGATCCATGGCTTGGAGACAGTTCTAGAAATTCAGAAGAACAGATGTGATAACAAGAAGACCAATGTTGTACGGGTAAGTTCTGTCCAGGCTCAGTGATGCAGCCTCTGAATGATGACTTAATTTTATAATATTTTTGCCCTAAAAATTTTCTATTCGGGTATCTCAGTTCAGTCCCCAAAGTACTCAGGGAGCATTTCTGATGTGTCAAGCATACCGGGCTCAGGTTCTACAAAGACAAATAAAAATAAGACATGACTGGACACCCGGTGAGCTTACGATCTTATGCAATAGATTGATTTATCCTTTATGCCTGCAAAGACTACCAGGAAGGCTGTACTGAGCAAGATTCTAAAACCATGTCTATCTCCAAAGGAAACCAGGGTTAGGGAACGGGCAAAGGGATACCTGTGGCAGCTACCGGCCGCCCCTGGTCCACTAGAAGAAAAACACAGAAGCGTGATCACTCTAGGCCATGGGGCAGTACAGGACCTTTTAGCAATAGCAATAACTGCCGACATTTCTTAGGCGCTCATTATGTGCTGGTACCACTCTAAACAGTTCAGTGCGGGGAATCCTCACAGCACCCTAACGGGGACTACTGTGGTCAGCCCCTTTTTCAGAGGGGAAAATGAGCCAGCAGAGGTTAAGTAAAGCACCCACATCCACGCGTTTGTGACAGGCAGAGAAGGGGCTCGCGTTCAGGCAGCCTGGCCCAGAACCAGAACTCTGAGGTGCCGTGCTGTACCGATCCATGGGTGCCTAGTTCAGAACTCAGGACCCTGGCCTGCTTCTGTCTTAGGAACAGGTAGCACAGAGAATCTCTGTCGTGTGTAACGTTTGCCCTCTGTATGTGCTGTTTCCAGAAAGCATCTTGATGCTGCAGCCCCCAGCTGGACCTTGTGCTTCCCACGCTGGGCCCTGTAGATGGCTCGCTGTTAGTCTCTGAATCTGTCCCAGCTAACTAAACGGGGTTTCCAACAAGTGCAGGTTGTTGTTAAAAAAACTCAGGTTGGATGAGTTGAGACCTCACTTGGAAGCGTTATCAAAGTCAGCAGACTGTGGGGTAAAGCAGTGCTCAAACATGCACACCCTGAAGACTTCTCAGTGTTTGTCTGAAACTAGCCCAAAGAGGTTGACCAGATGTCCTCCCTGGATTTTCAATCCTGTATTCCAAGGCCTCCAAGCTCTGGAAAATACTTGCGGGCTTATTTTGCACTAAAACTAATAACCTTGAAATGTCTCCTCTGCCAAGGGAACGTGTGGAAAGTGTCCCCAGCCACCCATCTGCCCACCTGGAACCAAACTGTTAGTAAGTATTTTGTATGCTCTGAGAAAACACTTTCCAGATCCCAGGCAGTCCAAGTTAGAAAATGGATGGCAAGTAAACCTCATGTTTAGGGCCCTCACTCTTGCCCTGGGTTTAATTTAATTGAACCTTATTATACTGTGAGCCTCCTAGAAAATTCTTTGGAATTCTACCTCCTTATATTGCATGCGTCTTTGTAAAGTTTTAAGTGCATTTTTGGAGGTACTAAGAACAAATGTAATTAATAACTCACAGAAACGTGTTCATAAATCAACACACAGTGCAGAAAGGGGTTTTTTGCTTTCTATATCTATCACAGAAGCCAGCAGAGGAAAGCAGCAAGGAATGTGACCGCACAGGAGAAGATAGACTGCATACCCAAAAGCACACAGGGCCAGACACGTTCCACCTGCTGGATTTCCTTTTATAGTTGAAGTTACAACTTTCTCAAAGAGACACACGCAGACAAGGCAGAGGCAGGCACATCTTTGGATGAATCACTCATCAATGTCTCCTGTAGCTTTTTTTTTGGCAAGAGCTACTTCTGATAACAAGCAAGACAGAGGAAAAAACCCTTGCGCACCTTCTATAGCATGATGACAGTAATTAACAGTAACAATAATGAATATTGATTCTCTCCCTTGAGCTTTCATTGGATCTCATCTGTTATAAATCTTTATAAGCAAGCTTAATCTTTGGCCCCACTGGGGCCGATTACAAATCAGTAACCAAACAGATACACCCAGGTGTACATCAATGAATGCACAGGACTGTACCATCTGGCTTATTCCGCGGTTCCTCCAAACTCCAGTTAGTCTTGTATGAAAGCGTTCTTCTCACAGGTCCTACGGTATGGGACACTTTGATTTTTCTACCTGGCATCCTTGTGTTTGCCGTTTGTGCCAAGACTGGGTTTGGGACTTTTCTGCCTGTGAAGTAACACCAGCAACCTCAGGCACGCGAACCCCAGGGCGATGTGTCATTCATTCCCTTTAGGACATTGGACATGTTTTTCCTGATTAAAAACCAACCGAATTATTCCTGCTCCATAGGGCAACGAGACAAGCAAGTGCATCTTCAGCTTTTACTTCATGGGGAGACGCTCCGTGCTCATCGGGTGCCGGCCGATGTGTGTGAGAGTGCTCATCGTGAGTACAGGGCCCTCGTCCCCCCGTAATCACCCGGGGGACACGGGAAACCCCGTCGCGGGCTGGCTTCTCACAGTGGGTTCCCCGTGACTCCTCGGCCGGCTCCACTGTCATGAGGATAAAGCTCAGGAACGGCCCCCAAATCAGAACTTGAGTAAAAGCGGCAGTGTTCAATGGGGCGATGAAGAGAGGAAGAGGCCGAGAGGGCGCGGGGACTCCCTGTTCCCACCTCGCGGGCACACGGGGCGCAGAAGGGCAGAGGAGCGGCGGCTGGCTGAGAGAAGTCAGACACGGCTGGTTGTTTAGGAAGCAGCACCCCAGCGCTAAGGGCCTCTGCGGGCCACTTGGGAATTTGCAGGAAAATGCCCTGTGACTTGGGGTCCCGCTTGTTTTCCAGGGGATCAGACCCAGCCAGGCCTGTTTCAGCAGAGGCAGGGGTGGGAATCTGGCCCTGAGACTGCAGAGTGAGGGCAGGAGCAGAGCTTGGCTCGGTGCACCAGAGATCAGAGGCAGAGGAAACCGGTGAACACCCCACCGGGTTTTCTGAACCTCAGGATTCTCATAAAACGCCCAGGGCCGGCCTTCAGAGGCCTTCAGTAGAGGTGAACAGTGTTCAAAGCCAGACGCCCAGGTCTGGGGACGACAGAGGCTGTGTCTCAGGGTGAGGGAGCCCAGGTCTCCTCAGGGTGAGGGAGCCCAGCTCTCGGGGTGAGGGATCCCAAGTCTGGGGATGACGGGGCCCACCCCCAGCACCCTGCTTTGATCCTCCAGTGGCCCCGGTGCCCTGCTGTTCCAGCTGCCAGCCCTTCCCTGGCCTGTTCCCTGCCCTGCCCTCCTGGTGGGGTCCTCTGTCCTCTCAGGGCCCGGAACCTGCCAAGCCTCCCCCAGCCCAGGGCTCCGGCCCATCACCCCCAGCCCTGGGGCAGATGCCAGTGGCTGAGTCCGGCCTGAGCAGGTGGGCACACTGCAGCCTCCAATCCCTTGCAGACACGTGCCTGCTGCGCCGGCTTCTTTGGGCCACAGTGCCAGGCCTGCCCCGGGCAGCGCGGGGGCGCGTGCTTCGGGAACGGCATCTGCATGGACGGGGTGAACGGCACGGGCACGTGTAAGTGCAGCCCCGGCTTCAACGGCACGGCCTGCGAGACCTGCGCTGACGGCAAGTACGGCGTCCACTGCGACCAAGGTGCGTGCCTGCACGTCCCTGTCCCCTCCAGGCCTCTCCCCCGACACTGCAGGCCACTGGTACTGTTGCTGCTGGAGACTGAGCTACATCCCGAGTGAATTTTTATTTATAATTTTGAGACAGCTGGGTGTGGTGGCGCACACCTGTAGTCCCAGCACTTGGGAGGCTGAGGCAGGAGGATCACTGCAAGTTTGAGGCCAGCCTGGGCTACACAGTGATTTCGAGGTCAGCCTGAACTACAAAGCAAGACCCTGTCTCAAAAAAGAAAAAAATTTGAGACAGGCTCTCCCTAAATCGCTAAATTGCCCAGGTTGAGTTCTAACTTGAAATCCTCCTGCCTCAGCCTCTCAGAGTGCTGGGATTACAGGTGTGCGCCACCATGCCCGGCTCTGTTGTGAATTTTAAGACTCTCTGTGTTGTATTGTTTCCATAGGGCTATGTTTCTAAACATTTTTAGTCACTGCCCTGGACCTGCCAACCTATCCCATCTGTTCGCTGATAACCCAACCCGAGCAGGTTTCTCTAATTGGCTGTGTGCAGTCATCTTCATGGCTAACTTTCTGTACAGACATGGCTTCGTAGTTGGAAAATAGACTTGTCCACATCATTTCATTCAATCTGAACAGGAACCTTACGTACTTAGACATTGCTACAACCATTTCCCTGATGAAGATACTAAGGCCTAAAAGGCTGTAATCTCAGCACTCTGGGAGACCGAGGTAGGAAAACTGCAAATTCAAGCCCAGCCTGGGCACTTTAACAACTTGGCAAGACCCTGTCTCAAAATAAAAGATGAAATGAGCTGCGAGGTAGCTCAGCGGGAAGGCCCTGTGTTCACCCCCAGGCCTGGAGAAATAAAAACCACTGACGAGAAGCAGAACTGAGATTCTGATACGCACCTTACGTCCTAGATCAAGCTGTCCTCGGTCACTGATGAACAGATCCCTCTGCTGAGTTGCCATGCACAGCCATCTGCTCTGTTCTTGCAGAAGTAGTGTTGAGCCAAGTCATCTGCTTTTTTTTGCACCTGACTTCACCGGGCCCAGGCACGCAAGGGAGGATCTGTAAGAGGCAGGAGAAGCTTCCTGTCCTACGATTAGAAACAAGTCATTGTTCTTCTCCCAAAGCCCATAAGTTTAGCAATCAGTGTTTCCTTATCAGCTGGTCTAACTCAGACAAAATTAATGTGGTACAATTGTTAAAATGGAGCCATATTCCATACCACTGAAATGAGTATGGATTTTTTTTCTGCATGTGTTTGGAAGAGTTATATGCTTGCATGTGTGCAAGAGTTCCTAACCTAAAATCCATGAGTGACCCTCAGACCCCCAAATTTGAATGTGCTGTGGGGGAAGAAAGCTTCCATAGCTTCCAGCGAGTTCTCACAGAGGTTTGTGAGCTTGTTGTAAAACAGGCATCAACATTTCCATGCTGGGGGCTGGGGATTTAGCTCAGCGGCAAAAGCGCCTGCCTGGCAAGCGCAAGGTCGTGAGTTCAGTTCTTGGTACCGGAGAAAAACCAAAACCAAAACCAAAAAAAAAAAAAATTTCCATGCTGCTGAAGAAGGCAGTAAACACCAGGCTTACGTAAGCCTGATAGCAAAAGGGCCTCTAGCATGGTTCCATCCCAAGGGGCCCACACACCCCGGGATCCTCAGACAAATCCCACAGAACCGCGCTGAGGCGCTGTGAACACATAACCAGGTTTACCTGTCACCCAGAGGCGCGTCCCAGGCCTGCATCCCCACCCCTCCTATGACTCCAACCCCCATGGGGGACACACATCCCCAGGCCGGGTGGGAGAATGCAGTGCAAAAACTGCACCCCTCAAACGACGCATGAGGTGCCAGACTCGGCCAGAACCTGACCATTTGTGGGTGTTTTTCCACTCAGAGTGTTCTTGTGTCCACGGGAGATGCAACCAGGGACCCTCGGGTGACGGCTCCTGCGACTGTTACGTGGGTTGGCGGGGCGTAAGATGCGACAGCGGTAAGCACGAGGCTTCGTGTTCATGCCCTACTCTCTGCCTGCTTCTCTGCGACTATGCTATTTTCCTTCTAAATAGAAAATGGCGTCTTTATTGCTTTTTCTGACAGTAAACATTAATTCCTTCTTGCGGCAAATAGCTTGTAAAAATAAAGAAAAGTAAAAGGAAGAAAACAATTTCTCATACTGCCCAGGCAGGAAAAAACTATTACTGAGATTATGCGTTAGCCTCCAGCCTTCCTGTAGGTGTGCAGTGTTCCATAACCGGCCCTTACGCTCCACAGCAGATGAGGGACATTTTGCCCTGGGAGAGACAAATGCCATTAATTTTAATGGTTCTGTGGTGCTGAGGATAAAGCCCAGGGCTTTGCACATGCTGGGCGAGGGCCCTCCCATGGAGCTACCCCCAGCCCGACTGCAGCTTTTTAAACCGATTTCCCATCATAACCCCACAGTGAGCAGATTCTAGCCCCATCCTGCTGCAGCTGCGTTGTGTCCCATCTGTTACGTTCCCAGACAGAGTTCTGAGGCAGGAGCTGGTGCACCGGGGGGAGGTTTCCTGCTCGTGGGCAAGGCGCCCGTCAGAGGTGCTGCCCGTGTGATTCTCATCTCTGAGGTCTTAGAAGGCCCACGTCCTCCAGTCTCGCTGTGTCTCCATCTCTGCTCCCTAAGTGCAGGGCAGGAGAGGAAGGGCATTTCCAGCGCCCCGGAGTAGCACAAAGATGCGGGGGAGCTGCCCATGCCCCGTGCCAGGGCCGAAGCTTACAGAGCCAGAGGGTGCAGGGGCAGAGGAGGAGCCAGGGGAGAGGAGCGGGTGGCAGGCAGGGCCAGGCCCACCCGGCTGTGGAGGCTGGGCCTCCCTGGAAGCCACTGGGAGCCCTAGAAGCCCTAGAATAGGACAGCAATGTGACCTTAGTTTGGAGCAAGTAAGAACCCTCACACACTGGACCGGGGAGAATACCATGGAGGTGGCATCAGAGATGTCCCCTCCTCTGCACCAGGGACAGGAGGGGGCCTCCAGGGGCCTGCTGCCCAGGGAGAGCTCCAGAGTGTGGTTTGTCAGAGGGGCACCGCCACCCAGAGCTCCGGGTGACGGCGAAGCCGAGGGAAAGCAGAGCGAAGGGTTGGTGACAAGCTCAAGTGGGAAGGCTGAAGGACCCCGGGGCAGGTTCAGGTCTTGGGGTCCAGAGCCGGGATGTGGAGCCAGGGGGAGGGGAGGAGGGCGCGATGGGTCACACAGCCCTGCCTGAGTCCCAGGCACGGACACGGCAGAGCGCCCTGGCCACCCTTTTGCACTTGAAGTGCTGTGCACAGAAAAGCGGCCTGTTTAAAGGGCCGGGGGTCAGTGGCCAGCGTGCCGGAGGCGACTGACGAAGTCGGAACTCAGGCAGCAGCGTGACTGCACCAGCGAAATGGAGACACGGGGTGTGAGGTGAGGCAGGGACTGAGGGAAGCAGAGGGAAGGGAGCAGGTGCAGCTCAGGATGGCCCTTGATCGCAACTCAGGCCTCGGTGCCCCGGATGTATCAGCTCGTATCAGCTCGTTAATTCACTCTGCAGACACCTGCAGAGCTCCTGCTGGGTCTGAGTAATGACATCACAGAAAGCCCAGAGACGCCTCTGCCCGCGGCAGTCTGCATTTCATGGGCATCAAACTCAAACTCCTCAGTGGCAGGGGGCACAAGGCTCATCACCCAGTGGCGCCTGCTCAGTTGTCCAGCTCCTGTCCCTGTCCCGGTGCACGTGCTTCCCAAGGAGCTTCCAGTTTAAGAGGGGAAATAACTATAAAGACAGGAAAACAGTTGTATGCGAGAGCAAAGCGAAAACTCTAGAAAACTAGGCTACCTTTGTCCCCCTGCAAACTCCCCATTCCTGAGCCATGGCAGACATCACCAATCGCTGTCCACCCTCCCTCCCCAGATGTATAGAAAGAGAAACAACGGGCTGGGGATTTAGCTCAGTGGCACAGCGCCTGCCTGGCAAGCGCGAGGTCATGAGTTCGATTCCCGGTACCGGAAAAAAGCCAAAAAAAAAGAGAAACCAGATCTTTCTCCAGAGAGCACACCATGGAGTCATTACCAATTGATGGAACTCGGTTTAAAACTTGAGAGCAGGTTCCAGAGAGGAGGACCAGAAGATGATTGGGATTTCAATAGGTAGATTAGAAAGAAAGGGATTTCCAGGCTCAAGGAAGCTCACAAATAAAAAGCTCAAACTTCCCTTGCATTCATTGCCCCAGCCTACTTGAATTTATAAGTGTCCCATCTAAAATAGAACAGATCTGTAGGGGCCAGGTCCCTGTACCAGGACCCGTGTGACAGGCCCCAGGACTAATGAGATTGCTACCAGCTTAAGCATCCTGCCTGAAGGGTATTCTTTCCTCATCTCTAATGATTTAATGTTTTCCCACTGAGAAACATACTCTGGCTGGGCATCTAAGAGCAACAATCTATACTAAACTTACAGGAAATTTAGAAATCAATGCAACAAGTGAATACCAGGTACCTGCTGTGTTCCAGGCCCTGGGCTATTGCTACAGGTGCCAAAAAAAAAAAAAAAAATACTTCTAATATTACTCATAATTTAATTAAAGGTTTGCTTGTTTCCATCTCTCCACAAGATGACAATGGAAAACTACAATGAGTAACGTTAGAAAGACTAAAAAGGGGAAATATAAATAAAAGTAGAAAATGAAACCCTAGGGGAAGAACACCCGCGAACAGCTGGGCCGTTTGAGCCCATCGTCATGTTTGAAGAATTCTGTGTTTCACTCGCCTTCCATCCTCAGTGCCTAGCACCGAGCCTGGCAAACAGGAAATACTCCGCTGAACATACCTGACCTTTATAATTGGCTCTGAGCTCCCTGGCAACCGGTGCGAAGAGAGGTTTACCCAGTTGTGGATTTACGGCGCTAACAGGATGCCACCAGTTACGCCTAAGGAGCTCGTTCTTTTCCTAGCACCAAGTACTGAAAGCAAATCCTCAGGCGCGAGCTGACTCTGCACCTGGTTCTCTTTTGCAGCCATTACAGAGGACAGGTGCAACGGGACGTGCCACACCAGTGCCAAGTAGGTGCCCTCTGGTCACCCTAGGGACCACACTAAGGGGATTCTTCCCAGCAGTTCCCAGCCAGGGGCCTCTCCTCAGGGAAGTGGTTTCCTGACACCATTTCGGAGGATCCAGGAGAAATTTGAGTGTAACAATGTCTCTAAGGAGCCCTCATCAGGGTGCCAGGGACACCGCTCGGCAGGCCACCACCGGCCTTACCTGGCACACTGACGGGACTGACAATCGTTTCCCCAGCCCCCGCCGCAGGACTCAGAGAGCCAAGGAGATGGAGGCGTGGATTTCCCCTTGCTCGGGAAGCATAGCCACGGCTTCCTGGCTCTGTCCTCCTAACCCCACCAGGGCTCCCGCTCCTACGTGCCAGGGAGCTCAAGCTCCAGGTCACCTCTGTGTGTTCACTGGCTCATGACCTTGAATCTGTTACTGACTCCAAGCCTCAGTGTCTTCATCCACAAAGGGGAAGAAGAAGAGTAATCCCGACCTGCTAGGGCCGTGGGACAGCGCATAGGTGACAGGAAGTATGTGTGAAGCTCAGCTGCTAGCCCGCTGGTCGCTCTGTGATGGGCAGCAGCTGTTTCCTCGGCCCGGGCTGACCCCTATGTGCAGACACCACCGTCCGCCTCCCGCAACAGGGCTGTGCCAGGCACAGAGGCGGGTCCCAGGATGCCGGGAGTGAAGGGTGCTGGGAGTCGGGGTTGAGCATCTGCCCCCTCTGTTCACCCCTCTCGTGGCAGCTGCCTTCTCAGCCCGGATGGCAAGACCTTGTGCAGATGTGCAGCTGGATTCCAGGGGAACGGGACCGTCTGCAAAGGCAAGTGAAGGAGTAGGCCGAGGCCAGCAAGGCTTGTGCGGGTGCTGACATATCTGTGTGACTGGGACTGAAGGGCTTCGACCCTGGCACCAGCCAAAGCTGGACAGCTGATGGAGCCTGCTACTGGAAGCCTCCGGCTCGTGCGCAGGTGTGGGCTTGGGGCTGGACGGGCAGTGGCGCCTGCTTCCAACACACAGATGTGCTGCAGTCCGGGCAGGTTCCTGGCCCACAGAGCAACAAAAATCGCCTGGCAGCGCTAACAGCCAGGATTTCACTGACCAAGGGCGAGGCCCAGGGACGCTCTCCCGAGGCGAGGCTAAGGGCTCGATGGCTCAAGTCTGTGCCCAGTTCAGAAAGGGGTTCGTGGCCCGGCCCTTCCTCCTGCTGACCCTGAGGCCTCGTGTGGATCTCCTAACTGCTCTGAGCCCCACTAGCCCATTTGTAAAGAGGACACAACCGCCTCCCTTACCCTCTGCTGAGGGTTAGAGGTCTCTCCGTGTGCAGTGGCAGAGCCGTGCAGCTGTGAAACCTCAGCCTCCCCTTAGGCCCCCGGGGCTGGAGTCGAAGTTCTTATCATTCCCACGGCCTTGGAAAGGTGCTTCACGCTCTCTGCACCATTTTTTTCATCTGCAAGCTGAGGACCACAGGAGTGGTCCCCTCCCCGGGATTTTGTATACAGCCTGTAGAGTGCTAGGAAATGCGCGCTCTGAGTCTTATGGTGCCAAACACATAATGCTGGAAATACACAAACTCTTTGCATCATTTTCCTTATGTGCGGCAGGCCTTGGTCCAGACTACACAGTGGTCACTCCGGCTCCCGTCTTACCCCGAGGATTCTCCCAGGGAGCAGCTGCTTCTGCCAGATGCTCCCACAGTGGGAGGTGTAGAGCATGCTAGTGTAAACTGCTGGGGAGGGCAAATACCTGGAATATTTTCCTTGCTCTCTGTTTTTGGGAATTTGCCATATTTAATCCAACGCCTGCCAGCGTGGTTTGGAAGTATCTTCCATTTCTCAGAGACTCAAAAAGGCATTCATAGTGTTCTTTTACCCTTCTCCTCCTCTTCTGTTCTGTGTCTTCTCTCCCGTCATAGCCATCAATGCCTGCGAGACCAGACACGGAGGCTGCTCGCCCAAGGCTGACTGTAAAAGAACCTCCCCAGGAAACCGGGTGTGCGTGTGCAAGGCAGGCTACACTGGCGATGGCATCGTGTGCCTCGGTAGGGGACCATCCCTCACCCGCTGGGGGGAAGCAGACCCCGTGCGTGGGCCCCTAGGGCTAGGACAGTCAGCGGCGGGTGCCATTACTCAGTGCGTCTTGGTTAAGCGTGAGGGTGTAGGGGTAGGAAGGTATGCAACACCCAAAAATCACTTTGGAAGGAGAAATGGGGACATTTTTCCAATTTAAAATTATGAAGGTGGCTGCATTTTTAAACTTTCATTAGTTCTTTTTTTTTTTTGTCCAAGTAGCACATTCTTGTTGCAGAAAAGTCACAGAAGTCGTGATACACTGGTGTAAAAATTTTGAGAGATAACTATTTTTCTGGGCCTCACTTTGCTACGGACGTAGGTATTTTTTAAACAAAACAGTGTCTCATGGTACACAGTGTTTACTCTGCTTAGCATTATGACAGTATCGCTTTTTCACTGAAAAATGAAGATACTGCTACCTCATTATTTTAACAGCTGCGCGATGTTCGGCTATACAGACATGCCATAGTAAGTTGTCCAACTTTTAACTTTGAAGTTGGAAAGAAGGATTTATGAAGAGCAGTTGCAGGAAGCATAATGAGACCACTTCCTTGTTATCTACGCTCTCATATTCATGCTTTACTCGACTTGCTTTACCATTTCCTCCTCTGTGTACACGTTTTTTTATTAACTGTTTGACAGAAATACAAATGTATTGTATTCCACTTATCCCCAGTAATTGCTTCCCAGGAATAAGGGCAGCCTCTTACTTGACCAAAGCACAGTTAGCAGCTTTGGTAAACTTCTTATAGAGAAAACACTTCTGTCTACTGTCCGTTTGTATTCTAACTGTGTCAGCTGCACCTGTAACATCCTTTTGGACACTTATCTCCCAGTGCAGGCGTGGTCCAGGGTCAGACGCTGCATTCGCTGTCTCTCTCTTCGATCCCCTGTGACCTGGGATAGTTCCTCTGCCTGGCCTTGTCCCTCATGACATGGACATTTGGGAAAAACATTGTCCATCATGCCAACCTTTTGTCCTGTGACAGCATGTCCTTTCTTGGGGATTCTTCTGAGGCTTTTCCGTGATTAGATTCACTTTGTACATTGCCGGCCCAAACGTCACCCAAGTGACACTGCGTCCTTCTCAGGTGACCACACGACCCCCGAGATTTCCTCCTGCCTCCCGTTTGGGATGTGAATTCTGACCGTTTTGTCAAAGCGCTGCTGTCCTGTTTCTCTTCTGTGTAGTTATTTTTCCCCTTTGCTACTAATAAGGAATCAATGGAGAGGAACTTTGTCAAATCGGAATACTACTTACCAAATGCTCTCTTGCTCCTTATCAAAACGTCCTCCTAAATTTAGCATCTGTCAGTGATTTTTCTCTGGACCAGTTTAGGCCATGACAGCTGCACACGAGTTATGTTTTCACTTCTTGGCTCTTTCGTTTGTGCCCTGGTGGACAGAACTCCGAGACTCTCAGAGTTCGAGGCCTTGGCTGCCCACGCTCAGGTTCACTCCGCAGAGGGACAGATTGCAGCCCGCAGACCACACCTCGGCTGGGATTAGCCCACCCCAGAGGAGCTGGTTTTGAGGAACCGTATCTGGTCTTCTCTCCTCTGGATTGCTTCTGCCTCTGAACCGCCAGCAAACTGAGCGGCACCTGACACCTGCAGTTCCTAGCTGCCCGCACGACGCCTCCACCTGGACAGGAGGCTTGGTGCTTACCGTGGGTGCTGGCTTTTGTTTTGTAGAAATCAACCCATGCTTGGAGAACCACGGTGGCTGTGACGGGAACGCCGAGTGCACACACACAGGACCCAATCAGGCGAGCCGGCCTCCCTTCCCTCCGGTTAGACGCAGACCCGAGGGAAAGAATAGGTTAATGGTTCAGGCCTCAGGGCTGTGAAATGCTCGAACCACTCTAGCAGGCCCAGTCTCAGCTTCTCCGCCAGCCCTGGGGCTCTAAACACAGTGAGCATGCAGTGCCCGCTGGACACAGGGTTAAGAAGGTGGGGAAAACAGGAGACCAGGCACAGAGGGTGGGGGCCGGGGTGACAAGACACACGGGAGCCAGCTAGAGGCCCGCTGTGCCATGCTCTGCCCCCTGCCTCTCAGTCCACGGGGAGCCACAGGTGGCCGGCAGGAAGTTCACACGTCTAGAGGCGGTGAGGAAGTAGCTCCCAGCGAATGTCCTGCGAATACTGGCGAGGACTTCAAACACCTCAGTGCCGGGACTCGCAGTGCACAGATCGAGCAAGTGCCTACTGTGCAAAAGAAAAGGAAAAAGAATGTCTGGAAAGAATCGTACATGTGTATACACGAATGTGTGTATGTGGTTAGCCATAGAACGTGAGAACAGTCCACGTTGGGCTTTCTGGTACATGTTTTGGGGTTTGCTAGAGTTTTTATTTCAAACTACACGTGGGGTAAGAGGAATCTGTAAACTTTTTGGTGCTTGTGGCCTCTAAAAGCCAGTGTCCAGACCTCGGAGGCTGAAAAGGGGGAGCCGGACTCAGACTAAGAGCTTAGCTGAGCAACAGGAGCCGGCAGGCATCTCGGCAAAGGTTTGGGCTGAGTTTGGGGCCCATTGTAGAGGGAGAACAGGAGGGACAGGGAGGAGCTGTCCCCGCGGCCCTGGCTGGCCCCTTGGAGGACTTCCAGCTCCAACAAGTGGACCTCAGGCCTGGGCTTCTGCTGCTGTGCAGGAGGCTCTGTGTGAGCTAGAAAAGCTGTGTGTGGGAGGGCTCTTGGGAGCAGCCCGGCCGTGTCTACAGCGGGCCACTCTGGCGCCCGGGCCCCAGCCTCCTGTGGAAGCACCCCTCTCCCAACTTGACGCCCCCAGTTGATTTCCTTGACCAACTCTCCAGCGGGTTGGACTGATGGCTTCCTGGGTGCACCTCAGTGGGCGGCCAAGCCCTCATCTTAGCTCCTCTACTCCTGATGCCTTTGGGCTCAGCAGGCAGGATGAGCAAGAGTGGGATGTAGCTTGGCCTCCTTTCACCCGAGCTCTGGGCCAAGGAGAAAAGAAGTGAGTCCCTGGAGGCTAGGGACCACATAAGGTCAGAAAATCATCTTGGCAGCAAGGGAGGATGGGCGTGAGGTGGAGTGTGCTAAATGTGCTACAGGATCAGAAGACCATCAGAAATCCTGGTGGGACTGGGGCCGCCGATCACCATTGAGTCTGGGAGGCAGTGGACGTGGCCAGCCCAGGCCCTATCTGTGAACTGACCCCTTTGCCTCTGCTCCCGGACAGGCTGTCTGCAACTGTTTGCCCACTTACACCGGCGACGGGAAGGCCTGCACCCTCCTCAGCGTCTGCCTGACCGTGAGTAGGCCTCTGCCACGGCCTCTAGGCTTGGGGTAAAGCTGGCCAGGGAACCACCCCAGTGTCGGTGATAATCCAGAGTCCGCTGGACTGTCCATTTCCCAGGGGCAGGCCCTACTACGTAGCCCTCATGAGTCAGCTAACGAGCTTAACACACAGTTGAAAATCTGGTCTCCGGGCCATGATGATTGAGTGATTGAAGACCCATGTTAATTGGTGGGTTTTGTTCTGTTCTCTGTGTACCTAATGGGGAGGAAGACAAGCTCATTGCAGAATGTAAAATGTTATGTTCTGATAAAAGCAAAACGATGGTGATAGTAAAATGTTGCCTGGAGTTGGGGGCAGGAGGAATGGACAAACAGAGCACAGCAGACTTTGGGCACCAGCTGCCCGGGTGGTGCTGTAATGGAGGATACAAGTCATGATACATGTGTCCAAACTCGGGCTGGGGATTTAGCTCAGCGGCAAAGCGCCTGCCTGGCAAGCGCAAGGTTGTGAGTTCGGTTCCCGGTACCGGAGAAAAACCAAAAAAAAAAAAAAGCTTCACATGTGTCCAAACTCACAGAATAGACAACAGCCTTCCCCATCACTGGGACGAAACAGCTGACACCACAATTGAAGGGAAAGTTGGCTCACGGCTTCAGAAGATTCAGTCCATGGTGGGCTGACTCCAAGGCAGAAATGGGTGGAGGAGAGCTGCTTAACTTGTGGCAGCCAGGAAGCAGGGAGAGAGGGAGGGAGGGAGGGAAAGAGAGAGAAACAGAGAGAGAGAGAGAGAGATCATTCAAGGAGCAGCCCCAGGTGATCCACCTCCTCCATCCAGGCCCCTCGTCTGAACAGCACATTCAGCTCTAAATTCATCGGTGAACAAATCCACTGATGAAAACTGCGCCTCTTTGATCCAAGCACTTCCCAAAAGCCCCATCTCTGAATACACAAGCATTTAACGCTGGGTGTAGAAATTTCTTTTCTCACAACTTGGAAGGCTTGGAATCCGAACTCACGGTGTCCACCAGGATGTGCCCCCTCTGAGGGCCCCAGGGACGAGTCCTTGCCTGGGTCTTCCTGCCTCGGTGGCTCCAGCCATTCCTGGCTGTGGCTGCATCTCTCCCGTCCCTGTGTCCATCCTCACCTGGCCTTCTCCTCTGCTTCTGTCTCTTCTCATACCAACCCTCCCGGGGTTCCAGCCGTGTAGCTAATCTAGGGTGAATCAGCTCAAGTTCCTTTCTTACACCTGTCGCTCTTTTCCTGAATTAGGTCACATTTACAGGTAGTGAGGCTCAGGTCTGGGATGTGTCTCTTCCGGGGCCACCGTTCCACCCCCTCCAAGCTGGCGGGAGCAGAGATCCTTGTCCAAGGTCACAGACTTCACTGTGACTTCCACAGACTTCACTGTGACTTCCACAGACTTCACTGTGACTTCCACAGGCCACTCACAGTTTTGAAAATTGAGCACTTGGTGTTGGCCCAAAGACTCCAGAGAGAAGGCTCCTTGCCACCCTCTCGGCGGCACTTACTCTCAGGAACTAATTCTGTCCCACAGTCATCAGGGCCACTGTGCCCTTGGGGGCCAGGCAGGGACGTTAATCTTGAGACCCAGGGGGTAGGTAGCACCATCTGCACAGCCCCAGTTCCCTCACGCTGTGAGTGACACCAGCCCAGGGCTCTGGTTTCAGGGAGAAATGAATTTTTATTCACATTTTCCAATTAATTAAGGATGATCATTTTAAAATTAATTTTAAACACTAACTTAACTCTCACGACAAACAGATTTCTTTCTCGTAGTCTGGAGGCCAAGGTCAAGTTCAAGACGCCAGCGTTTAGCACGGCCTTCTTGCCTTGTCTTTTCGTGGCCAGTGGCATTACACGGCGGAAGGGCCAAGAGTGAGTGACAGCAAGAGACCATGAGGAGGCTGTCTCCTCCTTTTCTAGGGAAGCCACCCTGCAACAGCCTCATTAGTCATTCAGGCCATAGCACAAGCCTCACAGTGGCATTCGCCCCAGGCATACAGTCCCTTAGCCCGGCAGTAAAGACAGCACCAGGTGTGGCCAAAACCTCTTTACCCCTTGCTAGATTCCCAAAGGCCTCACTGGGCCTGGGTTGGAATCTTGACTCTGTGAGACTTTGTTAAACATCTTGATTTCCCCATGCCTCACTTTCCTCTTCTGTAAATCAAGATAATGCTTCACTCAAAGAATTATTCTGGGAACTCATTGAGCTAATGTTCATAAAGTATTGTTCTCTGGTCTTTGGAAAATACTAGCTTTGGTTATTATAAATATGATCACAGTGCTCCATGCCTTCACGCCCCCTCTCTGACTGAGACACCGTTCCAGCCCTTGCGTCCTGCCCAGGTCCTCCTCCTCTGGAACTTCCCTGACCTCCAAGTGTACAGAAGCTTCCACAGGTTTTAAGCTACCAGGGCCTCATGGTGGTTGGATCATGGCTACCTGCTGCCTGTGGCCATTCCATTAATTAACTTGAGGATGACCACAGCTGACCATTCCGGACAGACTGTTAGCTGTTTGAGGATAGGGATCATATGTGTTGCTACGGGTCCAGTGGGAAACCCACTTAACACACCGTGTACCAGGCACTGTTGTGTGGCCCAGAAACTCATCAGTGACCCATAGCAGTGTCTCTATCCTTAAATAATTTACATTTAAGAAGAAGAAGCAGATACTAAGTGTATCAACAAATGCATTTACTTAAAAAGAATTTTAGGTAATAAGAACATTCATGAGAGAGAAGTCTTTTCAGGTTACTATAACAACATGCTACAAATAGGGTGGCTTATAAATAACAGAAATCCATTGCTCGAGGTTCTGAATGGCGGGAGGTCCAACCTTAAGGCATTGAGAGGCTGCTTCCTGACTCACAGATGGTATCTTCAGGGTGTGTGTGTGTGTGTGTGTGCACGCACGCTCACTTGGTGGAGGGGATGGCTGAGCTTCCTACATGCCCTGTTATAAGGGTACTAATCCACTCGTGAGGAGCCCTAACGACCTTGCAGGGCCCCGCTCCTTCCTTACACCATGACCTTAGGGTTAGGGTTTCAACACAGGAATTGGGGGCTAGAAGGATGCAGACACTCAGACCCTCCTGGACACTACACTGTGTGTAAGAGAGGCTGGGCACTCTCAACTGGGGTGACCAGACACCAGCGGTGACAGCGGAGGGAAGGGCTTTTGTCTCTGTCTGTTGTGTCCAGGAGCTAGAAACCGAGCTCATCCACTGAGTGGGCGGCCGTGACAGAGTGAGCAGAGGGCTGAGATCCGAAATGTCCTCTCCAGAGAAAGGGACGCTAACATTACCAAAAAAGTGTAGACACTGGTAGAGCTGTTGATGGTCCAAATGTTGAACCGATTTTAATAAATAGCTAAATTAACCTTGAGACTTCTCCTTAAAATACAACATTGCAGCTATCAGTTGGAGAATATTTTGCAAAGTTTTCAGACCATATATCAGAAACAAAAATGTCTCTATTTGTTCTATAAAGAAAGTGTAATTGTGCTGTTAATGTTATGTGTTTTTACTGCAAATGTTTACAGTTTTGCTTTCAAAGCTTATGGAAATCTGAAAATTACAACCATAACTTAATAAAATACTTTAGCCACAAAAAAAAAAAAAAATCAGAGGTCATCCTAAAGATGGAAATTGTCAAACAAGACCAGTACCTTTCCAGTTAGCCCCCAGGTGCTGAGGAACTTCTGATTTGGAGATTTCTCATCTGGGTTTTTCTAGAGAGGCCTGGGGATCTCCTGGGGCCAGTCTTGGGGTATAAGGCGGCCCTGATAACTACAAAGAATTAAACATCAGCTTTGGGAAAGGAACAAATAATGCTGGCTGTCATACTTAGACAAAAAAGTCATTTCTTATTGTTGTTTTGACATATTTTGCTTTTGTTTTTTGTGACTCTGGGATTGAGCCCAGGGCCTTGTGCATGCAAAACAAGTACTTGCTCTACCACTGAGCTACACCCCAGCACCCCCAAAATAAAGTGCAGCAGAGAATTACTTGACCGATATTGGCAGAACTGCCAGACAGTCTGACCCCATCCCCCTCCCCTTGCAATTTCACCAGAAAAATGGCGGCTGTAGCCCAAATGCCATCTGCAACCAAACGGGGACAGGTGAGAGGACTTGTACCTGCAAGCAGAACTACACCGGGGACGGGCTCACCTGCCGGGGCTCCATCTATGAGGTAACACAAGGACATTTCATGAAGAAATGCTAAGGACCACGCCAGGGCTTCAGGAAATACACGGCTGCGTAAAAATGGGGAAGGCTGTGTTTATACGACTTTGCAGTGACAGGAAGTGTGGCCTACCCCAGGGAATTCGCTGGACCTGGGAAAGAGTGTGGTGTGGTGATTAAGATCGACCGTAAGCCAGGCACAGTGGCGCACACCTGTGATCCCAGCACTGGGGAGGCTGAGGCAGGAGGATTACTTCAAGTTCGAGGCCAGCCTGGGCTACATAGTGAGTTCAAGGCCAGCCTGTCTCAAAAAGGAAAGAAGAGAGGAGGAGAGGAGGGGAGGGAAGCGGAAAAAGAAAAGAATCAGCCTGGAGTGGATTCTGGAGTCAGGAACACCTGAGCTTGGGTACAGTTCCACCAGGTGGCACCACTGTGAACCTGAGCATACTGCGTTATCTCTCTAGGTGTTTCAGTCTATAAAAGAAAATCATAATGGCACCAACTCTACCAGGCTGTTAAAAGGATTAAATAGAATGTGTGTAACGGACACAGAGCATACAACTCAAAAGCACTGCCGTCATGTGAATTGTTGGCACGTGTGTGTGTGTGTGTGTGTGTGTGTGTTTCTATGTCCTATGACATAGAAAATGCAAGGATATGATACTCATAGATTTCTACCTGTTACTATAAACTTGAGCATTCTGGTTGATTGAATATTCTTGTTGATAAAGAAGCCAGATCTCCCATAAGCCTATAACCAATGTCTTAAACTATGTCAGCTGTATTTGAAATATTTTTAAAATGTTCAAGCACAATTTTAAAATGCCCTTAGAGCTCAGAGGCTTTTGGAAGCAGCCAAATCTTTGGTGAGTCAGAAGGAGGTTCCAGACAGGTTTGGCACTCAGACCATGTCCACACCGTCCTCTGAGCTCAGCCGCAAGGCTGTGTGCGGGGCGCCAAAGACAGCAATGCTGCAGATTTCTAGCTGGGTGGGCAGATCCCTGCAACCTTAGAAACGTCTCCCTTTGCAACAGTGCTGCTCTTAGAGGTCCTTGCAGTCCACAGGCCTTAAGCAAAACTACCCTGTCTCTGTTCGCAGGAGCTCCCCAAAGACCCCCAAACCTCCCAGTATTTCTTCCAGCTGCAGGTAAGAGCCTGTGTGTCTGTCCGCCAGAAGCGTGGGCCTTGGGGTGGTGGGCAGCTCCGTGGCAGGACACTTTCCTAACGTGCGCCGGGCCTGGGTTGGTAAAAAAGAAAGTTATGATCTTCAAGTCTCAGACCCATACTGAAGCAGCACCCAGAGTTGGTGAAGGAGAAAGAAAAGTCTGGGGCCCTGGATTACCGGCATAAGCCTGTCTTGGTCATCTGTGAACTGCATGTCTCCGCCCACGGGTGGGCAGCACTGGCTCTGGTTTACACAGAATAACACAGTGCAGTCAGGTGCCACAGTGCCACACACTGACATTTCTGCCAACACCGTACCGCGTGAACGATGGTGGTCCCATGGGATGATTATGGAGCAGTTTTCCAACACCCACTGACGTCATCACCACAATGACGGCATGCCATGGTGACATCATAACTGTGCTGTTGTCATCATTACAATGACGTCATCATCATGATGATATTGTGTGTCCCTGTGGTGCCCTATTGTATGGTGGTGACATGCAGTGGCATCATGCCATGCCATGGTGACACCATGGTGTGCTGTGGTAGTGCCCTGTTGTGCGATGCTGATATCATATGTGGTGATGACATGCCATGCGTGGTGACATCAGGGCACTATGCAATATTCACCTTTGTAGGTAGCTGTCCTGGTGTGAACAAACCTTTAAAAATAGAAAAAAGTTAACAGAATAAGAATATAAGATAAAAAGATGTGTACAGCTGTATATTGCATTTGTGTTTTAGGCTATTGCCATAGAAGAATCAAAAAACTAAAAAAATACTTTAAAATATTGAAATGTATAAAGTAGGGCTGGGGATATAGCTCAGTGGAACAGCACCTGCTTGGCAAGCGCAAGGTCCTGAGTCCGATTCCCAGTACAAAAAAATTATTTAAAGTAAAAAAGCCCAGGAGGCTGAGAAAGAAAAGACACTTAGTAAGTTAAGCTTTGCTGATGTGGACAGCATAGTGAGGTCACGGCCGAGGCCTCCCATCCACTCCTGAGTCACCCGAGCAGCTCCCTGTCCTGCGAGCTCCCCGCTGCCGGTGCTGTCCACAGACACTGCACTTCCGTCCTCAGAGCGTAGCTTCCCCACGCCGCTTCTGTTTAGACCTGAGGCTCACATTGACCCAGCACATGTCACAGTGGCCTGCAGCAGCCAGAGTAACAACCATGCAGGTTCGCAGCTGGGAGCCTCTGGCTGCACCACACCGCTAGCGGGTTCTGGGCTCCTACAGTGTCAAAATCACCCAGAAGCACATTGCTCAGGATGTGCCTCTGGTCAAGGGGGCACCTGACTGCAGGTGAAGAGACCCCCGTCTTCTCAGGGGAGGAAAGAAATGTGCCCAGGACAAGTAGTTAACACTTCAGGTGAAAATAGCAGCTCTGATCTTTCTACACATCATACACCTGCATCGATTCCAGATGTGCTGAAGAGTGAAATATACAATTCACTAGAATAAAATCACTGAAACACTAGAAGAAAATGCAGCCCTAGTAACCATATGGTCTTAGAGTTGCAAGAAGACAGTCATAACTGGAAAGCAAATCATATATATACATATATATATATATATACACACACACATACATAAACATATATATGTGCATTCGTGTGTATATATGTGTGTATGTATATTTATATATGTGTGTGTATATATATGTATGCACAGTTCTCCCAATTACATGAAGTATTGACACAGAGAGGGGACAATGGAACAGAAAACCTGAAAGTAACAGGAATTGCTTCTAGCTGGTGAGAGGATAGAGGTAGTTGTGATTTTCTTCCCCATGACGTACTTTCACAATCTGTAATACAAGAAGTGTGTGATTTTTTTGGTGGAGGGGAGAGTGTTGAAACTGCTCCATAGTGCCCTGCTGTCACCATGGAGAGTGTTGTATAGCCCTGGCTGACCACAAACTCGTGGCAATCCTTCTGCCTCAGCCTTTTGGGTGGTGGGATTACAGATCTATGCCACCATGCCCAGCTCTGTGCTGGTTTTATAGTTAGGAAAAATCAAGCATGATTTTGATGACAAAGAACCTGGATTTAATTGGACTCCGAGACTGAGACACAAGTCTCCCCACCCAGTTTCCTGCCCCGGGCCACCGCCATCTTGGGACTCGCTGGGGCCCTCTGCGTGGTTGGTGACCGTGTGCCTCTTCCCTCCCTTGCTCCCTCCCTCCCGCAGGAGCACGAGGTCCGAGAGCTGGCCAGGCCGGGCCCCTTCACGGTGTTCGTGCCTGCATCCGCAGCCTTCAATGTGGAGCCCCAGGTGAGCTCCAGGCTGGGACCAGGACAGACTTAGGAGACCTTGCACTGGAACCAACAATGGTGGCATTTCTGGACAGGACTTTTAGGGTCAGGTGGAACTAAGGAGCAGTAGACACGGTTGTCTCAGCATGGGGACCGCTGTCGAGGGGACACCCAGGTGGATTTGCCGGTAGGAATGCTGGATTAGAGGGACTGAAGGAGCTTCTTGTCTTGCGGGATTTATCAGCGCCTTTACTGTTCTAGTGTCCAGGGGGCTCCTCTTCCCCCTGGGCCTCCCCAGGGAATAATGACAGCTGATACTTGCTGAGCCCACCAGGCCCTGCCCCGAGGACCCGGCCTACATTAGCTCCGTGGTTCCTCACAGCGTCCCCCAAAATGACAGGCCACGGGTAAGCACTTTTCTTTTTGCGGGTGCTGGGATGAACCCCGGGCGCTGTGGCCAGGGCTCCACCACCGAGCGCCGCCTGGCCGCAGCAAGGACTCGTCTCTCCCCTGGCAACCCCCGCCTGTCTAGGCACAGAGCAAGGCACAGAACAGCTTTAAAAACAATTTGACGTGTGTTAATTTTTTAAAGAATTATCACGAAGCAGTGAGAACTGTATGGGCTTCTGTGACACTGACTTTAGGGTCAGTATTGCTTGTGCTTTTCACTCCCAATAGAGAGACACCCTGATCTCTTCCGGGGCTGAAGGTTAAGTACAGCCGCGCCGCCTCGCCAAGAGAAATGTTTCTTTTCTTTTTTTTCCCCTTTTCCTTTCTTTTTTTTTTTTTTTTTCTTTTTCTATATTGGGGATTGAACTCAGGGCTCTCACACTGAACTGCATCCCAGCCTCCGTTTTTAATTCTTTATTTGGAGACACAGTCTCACGAAGGTGCCCAGGCTCGGCTCAAACTTGCAGTCCTCCTGCCTCAGCTTCCCAGAGTGCCAGGATGACAGTGCTGCACCACCACACCGGGCTGGAATCTCAGTTCTCAAGGAGTGTGTCACAGACGGCTGGGGTCCTTGCAGACGGGGTTCTGAAAGGATGTGTGGGGGCCCCTCCTCACTGAGGTTCTGCAGGAGAGGCCTGAACAACCTCTCCCTGAACCCCGACACACACCACACCTGCCTGCCACCCCCCAGGGGTGGATGGGGACAGCAGAGAGGACCAGAGGACCGGAGAGGAGCCTCCTGCCTCTGTCTCCCTTGCAGATTAAAGACTGGGACAGACAGGGCCTCATGCCCCAGGTTCTCCGGTACCACGTGGTGGCCTGCCACCAGCTGCTTCTGGAAAACATGAAACTGACCCCAAATGTCACTTCCCTCCAAGGAGAGCCGATCGTCATCTCAGTCTCTCAGGTAACGGCAGCCGCCTCAGGGAGGGGCCCACTGCGGCCTCCTCCGGGTAATACCGCGAGAATGATAGCAAGGACGGAGGGGAGAGATTTCTGTATTTTATCTCAACTGACTCATTTACTCCTCAAAATAACCGCATAATAGGTGCGCATGTTACTGCTGATTTCCACAGAAAGAAACCGAGCTCAGAGAGGTTAAGTGATTTGTCCAGAGTAGCACATCAAGAAAATAGTTGTGCTGGAGTTTGAATTCAGAGGTAGGCAAAGGGAAAAGCAGGGGGAGTGACATAGGAGACACACTGAAAGGAAACCAAGAAGCAGGGTGTAGTGGTGCACATCTGTAATCCCAGCATTCAGGAGGCTGAGGCAGGAAGATCGAAGTGAGTTTGAGGCCAGCCTGGGCTACATAGTGAGACCCTGTCTCAAAAAAACCTGCAATAAATAAATAAGTAAATAGAAACCAAGAGTAGCAAGGGGGTAGAGGGATAGCTGGGCATGATCAACACTATGGAATGTCACAGTTCATGCTGTGAACACACTTAGTAGGTGTTCGTGACTATAATTTTTGATTTCTTAAGAAGGTGATGCTGCACTGCCTGTTTATTTCATATTTCACAATCATGGTGAAATGACTATTTTGGCTGATTCTGTATTATTTGCTATTAACTTCTCCAGATTTAAAAAAAAAACCACAATCCTATCTGTTTTCTTTTTATAATCACAATAAAAAAAAGAGTTATCAAGTGCCTCCGGTCTTCTAATCGCGGCCCGATGACCTAACATACTAGAGAAGCACTTTGTGAGAAGTGATTTTCACGTCTGTTTCTTTGCTCTGTGTGCATTTTCGTTTTGGCTGATTTCAGGACACAGTATACATAAACAATAAGGCTAAGATCATATCCAGTAACATCATCAGTACGAATGGAGTCGTCCATGTCATAGACAAGCTGCTGTCTCCTCAGAACTTGCTCGTCACCCCCCGCGATGCCTCGGGAAGGATCCTGGTGGGTAAACGCTTGTCCCCTCCCAGTATGCCTGGCCCGGAATATGTCCGTCTCAGCTGTGACCTCAGGCATTACTTTGAAACACCATACGTGTGTTGCTTCAGTCTCAAACTATCCTTCAAAGCCTAGTAAACATTGTTCGGAAGAAGTAAAAAAGGAAAGGTCTATTGGAAATCGCTATATGTGTTTTAACCGGGAGCAGTGGTGAGCATCTGTAGTCCTAGCTATTTGGGAGGCTGAGGCAGGAGGATCCCATATGTCCAGAAGTTCAAGACCAGCCTGGGCAACATAGTGAGATCTTGACTGGTAAAAAAAAAAAAAATTAAAAATGGGTTTTGTGTTTCTTTTGTGTATTGGTCAGCTTTGCCACTGCTGGACAGAATGCCTGACACACACAATTTGGAGGAGGAAGTGGTTTCTTTGGCTCATGGGTGCAGAGGTCCCAGTCCATGGTTGGCAGGCTCCATCACTGTGGGTGTGAGGAGAGGCAGGAACATCACGGTAGAGGGTGTGGCGGAGGAACGCTGCTTACCACAGGGCACAGGAAGCAGAGAGCAGGGAGAGAGGACGCAGAGGAAGGGACCAGAGACCCGTCCCCAAGGCCATGCCCCACCACCTACCCACACGCACACACAGAAGTGTGCTTGGTTAATGTCCTAGGCACCTCTCAAGCCATCAGCTTGACACTCAAGGTTAACTGAGAAATTTAGTGTCCACAAGAGCGTTTGCAAAATGGGAAAAGAAGAAAGAAGGGAAGGAAGAGGAGAGGAGGGGAGGGAAGGGAAGGGAGGGGAGGAGAGGGGAGGGAAAGGAAGGCAAGGGAAGGGAAGAAATATCACCATAATTAAACCTGAAGTAAAACTCCTTCTCAGTGGACACAAAAGACCATTTGAGCTTTATTTTCATTTACTGGTATTGACTAGCATCCTCCAAAGCAGAGTACAGACGCCACTCTCCCCACTGACACAAAACGGAGTCTCTAAAGAATTAAGTACATCACCCAACCTCTTGGAAGGCCGGAGCCTAATTCAGGTGTCACACAGTGGGAACAAAGCAGCCCAGGGACACCCGCCAGGGAGGACAGCTAAGTTCACCCCAGTTCACCTGCGGCAGTGCAGGTGCCCGGGCCCAGCCTCACCACCAGGGCACCAAGACTGGGCCACGCACGCCCCCACCATCGTGCTCCAGAAGTTGCCACGCCCCGCCAACAGCCGCCACCGCCTCCCGCTAGCCCCACGGCAGTGTGCGGGAACCGGGATACGCGGCCCTCGGCGTCTGTCACACAGGCAGCTTGTGCAGGGGAGCACGGGGAGGGGTTGACGGGCCTCTCCAGCACCATGTCATTTTACCTTCCCTGTGTCCCATGGCGTCCTTGTGAGGACAACTGTCACCTCCATCCTTCTTATCTTTACAGCAAAACCTTACAACGGTGGCAACAAACAATGGCTACAGACGATTTAGCAAACTGCTACAGGTAACAGCGAGGGGTGCGCGGCTCCAGGGTGACCTGAGATGCTTTGCTTGGTTAGGTCTTCCGCTCGCTGGCTGGGCTGGGAGGGCCCTCATTTTCCCGAGGGAGAAGTCACCCCCTGCCACTCTGTCCTCAAGGTGTTGCATGGTGTGGGAGATGCGGACAGAACAGTGGCCGGGTCCGAGGTGGACAGATTTGTGGCTGGGGAGAGGGAAAGGAAGTGGGGGCGCCCGGCGCTGGACTAAGGTCCTTCACATCCAGAATTAACCCCGCTGTAGACCCGGAGAAGCAGAGGTAGAGACCAGGGGGTCTATACCCGGGGTGAAGTCAGATTTGAAACCATCTTTCTGATCAGAGACTGTTCCCATGAATTGAGGAGGTCCTGCTTGTTCAGATAGACGATATAGAGGACACCATCCCGAGACTCCCTGCTCTCCCCTAGCTTGGGCCATCCCCAAAGGCCCCCCAAAACCCTGGTATCCCCCAGGGCACAGTCTAGAGATCGCAGCATTCATCCTGTGGCTCCCCAAATGATCTGAGTTTCTGACTCTGTTGTCAGAAATGGTGATTTCAAGATGTTCAAGCTGAAGTCTCCCCAAGGGTGTTACAGGCAAGGAACCTTTGCCCGCCTACCCCCACCCCTAAAACCTCCTAGTCACCCACACCTGTGCACCCGTGCCTGGTTGGACACAGGCTCCTAGGGCCAGCTAGCGAGCCTGTCTGGGGCTCATAAAGGGACTCATAAAGCCTCCTTTATAAGGTTATTGGAAAAGTTAAGAGAAAAAAATGTCTATGGTGCACCCTGGTTGTAGAAAGCTCTCAAAAAGATTCTTCCCTATTCATTTTGCAATTCTTTTTTTTTTTTTTTCAGTATAAATGATCTCGAAATCTCATGAGTAGAAAGGAGTACTTCAGTATTGTACAGGTTTTACTTTTTAACATAAAATACAAGAAAAATGCAGAGCCGGTCTTTCAGAAATTCCAATATTAGGGCAGAAGGAGGATTAGGAAAGATATTCACTAAAGCCTATGTTTATTTTCCTGTCAACAGAAACTTAGAATTTAGCTTTCTGACTTGCTTTCTAAGGAAATATGGGTCCGAAAGATGGATGCATGATGGGCCTTGGGTTTCCGGCTGTGTCGCGCTAAGTGGCATCGGGAGTGCCCACAGGCCAGGGCGGGACCAAGAGACTCAGCAGCCAGGGGCTGCCTCCCTGTGTTTCAGGACTCGGGCTTGCTGAGCGTCATCACCAACCCCATCCACACGCCCGTCACTGTGTTCTGGCCCACGGACCAAGCCCTGCAAGCCCTGCCCCAGGAACAACAGAATCTCCTGTTCAACCAGAACAAGGACAAGCTGAATGAGTATTTGAAGTTCCACGTGATCCGAGATTCCAAGGTACAGTCGTCCCCCCACCCTCACCGGTGTTTTTCAGTTACCCCCAAAGCAGTCATGGACTGAAAAGATGAAATGGGAAATTCCAGAAGGAAACAGCTCATACGCTTTAATTTGCACAGCGTTCTGGGTACATGATGAAACTTCTGGCCACCCTGCTCCATCCTGCCTGGGTTGGGAATCATCCCTTGGTCCAGTGTCTCCAAAGTGTATATGCTACCCACCCAATGGCACGGTTACGGTATAGATCTAGAATGCCCCCGCAGAGCCTCATGTGCTCAGAGGTAGGGCTCTTGGGAGGTGGCGGGATCATGGGGGTGCTGAACCCATCAGTGGATTCCTCCGTGCGTGAGTTTGTGACTGAACGCACCACCAGGAGGTGGGGTTGAGACCAGGAAGGGTGTCTCTCCCTTCTGACTCCTCCCTTCTCTATCTACTTCCTGGCTGCTTGACAGGAGCACTTTTTCTCCTCTGCTCTGACTAGGGACTGAAATGTGAACCAAAACAAACCTCGTCCTCTGGGTTGTGGGTGTTGGGTATTTTGTCCCAGCCAGAAGGAAGTGACTAAGACAGTCACCTAGTAGCTGTCTTAGTTATCAGAGTGACATGCAGTATTGCAGTGCTTGTATTCAGCTGATCCTCATTTTACTAATAATGGTTCCAAAGCCCAAGAGTGGTGCTGCTGTCAATTTTATTATAGGACATTGTTACAATCATTCTAGTTTTTCCAGAATTGTTAATCACTTACTATGTCTAATTTAGAAATTAAACTTTATTATAGGTGTGCATTTATTGAATACAACAAAGTGTGTGTAGCATTTAGTACTATCCATGATTTCAGTGTCCGCTGGAGGTCTTGGAACAGATCCGCCCATATTGGGGGTGAGGTACATTTTGTTTAGGTGCAGAAGTGAGCTCAAGTTGTCCCAGGGCTGACAAGGCCCAGCACAGAAGCGCTGTGTCACAGACACCATGGGTCCCAGTCGCCGGAGGGCACTGCCTTGCTGTGCCCCCTCTGGTTGGCCATCGATAGCTGCACCTTGCAGCACCCTGTGACCAGGTTTCATTTCTTGGACCTGCCATTATCATTTCTGCCTTGTTGCTTTTGTTCTGCGGGCTTTTTAAATTGCACCCCAAGCCCCAGACCGCCTCTCCTCCCTTGGACTGCGGAGAGATCTCTCCTGTTTCCTGTTCACACGGCAGTGGGGCTGCTGACAACAGGGCCCAAGTCTCTCCAGGTGGACTCTTTCTCTCCAAATTCCAAAATTTCTGGCAAGTGACTGGCTAATCTTGAAGCAGTTAATCATCGATCCCACACACACACACCCAACTGATCGTGTGGGAACGTGGCAGTCTGTATCAGTCGTGTGTCCTATCCCTGAGACGTAATGCGCAGAAGCCACAGCTGGAAGGCAGAGAATTTTAGCTTGACTCACGGCTTCGGGGGATTCAGTCCATGGGTGGCCAGCCCCAAGGGAAAAGCATCCTGGTGGAGGAATGTAGCGGCACACAACTGCTTAGATCTTGGCGGGGAGCAGAGCAAGGGACAGCACCGGAGAGGAAGAGACAAGCGACCAGATACAGCATCCAGGGCCATGCCTCCCTGACCCACCCAGACACGCTCCGAAGTGGGCCCCACGGATCCTACCGGCGACTCCCAAGACAGTCAGGTTCACACAGCGAAGCTTAGCCCCCCCACACGGCTGCTCTGAGTCCTCCGCCGGGGCTCTGTGTTCTCTCCAGGGCTGAATCCACCCCCTCCAAGAATGCCAAGTGCCCTAACTCCCCGCATTCACGGCGCCTGGGTTACTTTCCTAGGGCTTTCGTACGGCCAGCTGGGTGCCTTGAAGCAGGAACAGTGTAGCCGCTCACATTTCCAGAGCCCACGTGTCTGAAATTTGGGTGTCCGTAGGGTTGTTCCCTCTGAGGGCGCTGAGGAAGAGTCTACTCCAGCCTCTCAGGCTTCCGGCAGCGCGTGGTATCTCTCGGCTGGTAGCCGTGTGTCCCGTCTCTGCCTCCACCTTCACTGCCTTCTCCCTGTGTGTTCCCGTGTCTTCGTGTGGGGGTCTCTGCCTCTTTCCTCTTCTTCTAAGGACCTGTTCATGTTGGATTAAGAGCCCGCCCTACTCTGGGATGACCTCATCTTACATAATTATACTTGCAGGGAGCTTGCTTTCAAATAAGGTCATCTTCTGAGGTGTGGGGATCAGTACATCCACATAACGCTCCTAGCAGTGCTCTGGGCCGTTTCCCAGCCCCCCAAAATTTCCCAGGCTCCCTCCATCGAGACACACTCTTCCCCACCCACAGAGCAGGCTGGCAGGGTGATAGAGAAAGCTTATCAGTATCTCTTCTGTGCATACATCTGCTGCCGTTTAAAGTTGGAATGATTATATCTCATGGAAAAAAACTCGCATCTGAATTTGGCTTGTCCTCCGGGGGCCTGCCTCGGGGGCACTCCCACGGCTCCCTCTTTCCTACAGGTGTTAGCTGCGGATCTCCCCAGGTCCGCTTCCTGGAAGACCCTGCAAGGCGCGGGGCTGAGCGTGCAGTGCGGAGCGGGCAGTGACATCGTGAGTGCCATCCCACCCAGGGGAGGGGTGGAAACACGGGGCAGCGCCGTCTCTGCCCACTGCCCTTGGGGAAGCGTGCAGTGCTCCCTTCCCTTGACAGGAAGGTGTTTTCCCTCATTGCTTTTGGATCCCAGACCACAGGCCCTGGCCAGCCCAAGCCCTCGTAGCAAGTGGTCCAACCTCCGTCATGGTGGAAAGCAGATTCTGGTGGCTTTTTTCCTAGTTCTTTCTGAGTCTTGGAGGTGTTGGACACGTCCTGTGATCTAAAAAGAAGAGAGGTGTGAGAGGGATTGCTCTCTCTCTCTCTCTCTCTCTCTCTCTCTCTCTCTCTCTCTCTCTCTCTTAGGGTGAGCTCTTCCTAAACAACCAAATGTGCAGGATCGTACAGCGGGAGCTGCTGTTTGACCTGGGTGTGGCCTACGGCATTGACTGTCTCCTGAGGGACCCCACCGTGGGAGGCCGCTGTAACAACTTTGCAGTTTATAGTACCACGGTCAGTCCTGACGTCACCACTGTAGTGAGAGAACCTTGGACCAAAGAACAGCCCTGGTAGCCCCACTGACTCACCGAGGCAAGGACCTACGGGGTCTACAGGCCAAATGATGGAGTTCTTCCAGTCAGAACCAACCAGCGTGTTCTTAGCCCTGCACAGGCCTTGACTGTCCTTGTCTGCCTGGCTACCCGCTTCTCTGTCCACTCCCTTATCATTAAGGAAGCAGCTGCTGAAGACCAGGAATGTGCCAGCTCTTCTGACCACTCAAATCCATCCACTCACTCATTCATTCGACACACAGTTTTTGAGCTTCTGCCAGATTACATCATATAAAATTACCATATTTTACAGTTTAGGGCCTATAAAAATGGAAAATTCATACCAGGCATGGTGGCATATGCCTGTAATCCCAGTATTGGGGAGGCTGAGGCAGGAGGATCACAGCTAAGTTCAAGTCCAGCCTGGGCTACATAGTGAATTCAAGGGCAGTCTGCACTACATAGTGAGCCCCTGTCTCAAAACAGAAAGAATTATCAAAAAAAAGAATGATTATCCCCACTTTATACATCATAAAACGAAGGTCAAAGAGTAAAAGCGACTGGGTTGAAGTATCCCGGCTAACTTGAGACGGAGCTGTACCTGCACACATTTTCCACCGTCGCTATCCTGTCTGCGTCACACTGCCCAGTCCAGCACTGCCCTGGCCCAGGAGCTTTGCCCTGCAAAGAACTAAGCCAAAAAGCTGAGACCCAAGACAACCTTTAGAGCTCCCTGGGGCAAAGTCGGAGTGTTTCTTTTTGTGTTCTTGATCGTAGTCAGAATCTTCTTTTTTTTTTTTTTTTGTCTTTTTGAGAAAGGGTCTCGCTATGCAGTTCAGGCTGTCCTTGAGCTCACTTTGTAGCCCAGGCTAGTCTCGAACTCACAACGATCCTCCTGCCTCACCCTCCCGAGTGCTGGGATTACAGGCGTGCGCCACCACACCCAGCCATAGTCAGAATTTTAAGATTAATTAAATTCCCAATCCACTCGTTCAAGTATCAACCTGGGACATTTCCTTGTGTTTTTCAATGTTCTTGACCTGAACGTGTCTCTCTCTGCACACTAGGGAAACTGCGGGAGCTGCCTCAGTACCCCCAGATGCCCACGGGGGACCAAGCCGCAGGTAGTACGAGGGTTGGAGAGCCTAGGATGTGCTGGGGGGGGGAGGCGAGTGGAGGCCTCTGTGAGTGTGTTGCACCGATGTGACTTCTGTGACTCCTACATTGATGGGGGGAGGGAAGCTGAGCGTTCCCAGTGCCTTGTCCACCTCCTGCCCGTCTTCCAGGAACTCTCTAGAAAAGTCGTGGAAATACTGACCTAAGTCAGACCTCAGAGATGTGCAGCACTGTAAAAATAACAGCTGCATTGTGTTGGCCACTGTCTGTGTCCCGGCTCTGTGCTGGGCGCTTTATATGCTGGTTATCCCTACCCCTTACGGCCTGGCAGACGCTCCTTCACCTCTGCTTTACTCAGGAGAACGTGTGTTCCAGAGAGAGCAAGCAGTCAGCACAGCGCTTGTGGGGAGCAAGGTTAGGATGAAAGCCCAGAAAGCCATGTAAACTAATGGCCAGGGCATTCTGGAGTCCACGGGTGTGGGGTGCAATTCTAGTCACTTTGGCTATTTACATGATCTATCAGTTTTGTTCCTTAAACTCAAGCTAATAACAACTCTCTATGTGGTTATTAGAAAAAACAAATTTTAAAGCCAGGTGTGGTGGTGCACGCCTGGAATCCCAGCACTGGAGAGGCTGAGGCAGGAGGATCATTGCAAGTTCCAGGCCAGCCTGGGCTACAAAGTGAGCTCAAGGTTGGCCCGAACTGCATAACAAGACTCTGTCTCAAAAAGACAAAAGCAAAAAACAAACAAACAAAAGGCAAAGTTAATTTCACCACGGAGGTATCTTAAGTGCCTGCCACACACAGTAGATGCTCACTAAATGTTTTCTATTACTGATTCTAAAGTCAAGCTCTTTCTGCCGTCCTAGTAAAATCTCTAACAAAAGCACCTCTGCAAAAAAAAATATAGCTCCCCGCTCCTTGCTGAGGAGTCGGGGCATTGCCACCCTCCCCCATGGTAGGAATGGCAACCCCGCCCTCCACATACAGCTCCAAGGGTCACAAAGTCCTTCCTCCTGGAACCAGGGAGAAATCTTCCATTGGCTCCAGCTCGGCCCTGCCCCTACCCGCTGCCCTGCCGGCTGGAAATTCATTGTCAACCCGGGCAGTACTGAGGTGCTCTACTAGGGGGCGAGCCAGCGCCCCAGCCCCCGCCCATGGTCCCGTCTCTCCCTCAGGGCATGAAGATCAAATGTTTGTGGGCCATGCTGCCCTTCAGGCCGCCCGTGGAAGGCTGCAAGAACAAGTGCGCCTTGGCGGTCCAGCTGCATATGTGCTGCAAGGGCTACTTCCTGCCAGACTGTCAGGGTGAGGCTCCTCTGCACCCGCGATGCTCTGACCCCAGCCCTGAGCAGGTAGGACGCGGGGTCCTGCTGCACGCAGGGGGCATCCTGTGTGGCACAGAGCTGGGATCGACGGGGCCTGGACGAAGTGCGTCTGCGTGGCGCTCGGGGCTGGGGCGTCGCCGTCCCCGGGTGCTCAAGGCGGCAGGCGTTTGTTTCCTTTACACTGACGAGCAGGCGGCTTGCTTCTGCCTTGGCGAGGTGGCTAGCTAGCGCGGTGACGCAGCCCGTGCGGGCCTTCGCCCCCGAGAGCCCGAGGCCCGCGCCTCCGCGTGCTCGGAATCCGGCTGGGAACGCGCTGGGCTCAGCCCCGCAGCCCACCCCGCTGTGCCCAAAGCGCACGAGTTCAGGCTGGTCCCTTGGCTGTGCCCGGCGCTGGCGCTGCGCCCGCCCCCGAGGACAGCAGCGCGGGGAGCGGGGCGCCGGCCGGGCGGGCGCCGTGTCACCCCCGGGAGCTAGGAAAGCTGAAGCACAGCACAAGGCCCTGGCCACAGCACAGCGCCCAGCGCGCGGCGCCCGTGGCCCCCCAGCCTCTGCCCTAAGTGCCCCCGACGCCCCGGGTGCTCACGGTGCGGGGAGCCACCACGCAGCTCCGAAGGCTGCTCCGGCCCCCGGAGTCACCGCCGTCCCCCCTCGCAGCCTGTCCTGGAGGACCCGACACCCCGTGCAACAACCGCGGCACCTGCCTCGAGTGGTACTCGGCCAAGGGACAGTGTCGCTGTGACACCGGCTTCAACGGGACGGCGTGTGAGCTGTGCGGGCCGGGGCGGTTCGGGCCGGACTGCCAGCGTAAGTGGCCGCCGTCCCTCCGCCGGGCCTCCTGTCCTCCCTGCGCCGCCCTCCCGGCCTGAGCATCTTCCTTCCCGTCTCCGCTTTCTGCCTTCTCCGCGTGACCCGCCCCCTGCCTTCCTCTCCGCTGGATTTTTCCTCTCTCATCTGCTGAGAGAGCGGCCTGCCTCTGCCTCAGGCGAGCTGTGGCTGACCCGGCCCTCATGCATGACCAGAAAATGCGGGCGATGTTACAATTTAGAAACTTAGTGCAGTAAAAGACACATCAACCCCCATCGGAACCTCCCCAGACCTGAACTCCCGCCCCTCAGCCTTGCGCTTTCTGCGGCAGCTCTACAGCCCCCTTCCCGAGTGTGCTCAGCTGCGCCACGTGCCTGCCTCGATGTCCTGAATCGACCAAACCTTTCCCTGTCATGGTGGTTCTCACTCGGGAAGAGCCAGAAGCTGCCCAGGGCCCGCGTGGGTATGAGGACACGGTGTCGTACTTCCGTGTGACAGAAGTTACTGTGAACACTTGCTTAATGAGAGTGGTCCACAGATATAGGGGTGTTTAAATAAAAGATCTAACCCAGTAAAAGACACATTGCCATGAACCCCCTTTTTTTCTTTTTTGGGGGGACAGAGTCTCACTCTGTAGTTCAGGCCGGCCTCGAACTCACAGCAGTTCTCCTGCCTCTTCCTCCCGAGCGCTGGGATGACAGGCGTGCGCCTGACCCTCTTGAAGTACTCAGATACTCCGCCTCGCCTCACACACTAATCCCAGGGCTCTCCGCCGTGTGTCTTTTACTGTAGTAAGCTATTTTCAGTTTAAACGTTTAATGTCTTTTCGATCACTCCTTGTGTGCTTACTGAGCCCTTACCAATACTGACAGCTGACCTTTACCAAGAGCCTGCAGGGTGCCAGGCCCTGGGCTCCCCCGTGTGCCCAGCAAATATGTCTTGGTCCTCATCAAACCCTCCGGGGTCAGCACCATTCCTAACCCATTAGCAGATCACGGCAGCACCAGGCACAGAGAGACCCAGTGATTTGATTTGCTCAGAGCCCAGGAATCGCTCTAAGGTCTAGAGACAAAATGTCAGCTCTCAGAGAGCTGAAAACCAAGATCAAAGGGGCAGGTAAAGCCAGGCGTGGGGATGTACATCTGTAATCCCAGCACTCAGGAGGCTGAGGCAGGAGGATCACTGTGAGTTGAAGACCAGCATAGTGAGACCCTGTCTCACAAAATGAACCAAGGAAGTAATGGGATCAAGAGAGAAGGAGGCCGTGTCCTGGAAGCTACCTCCAGGGAAAATATTTAAGCAGAGACCACATGGAAGTCGTGGGCCAATCAAGAGCAGGCTGGTCAACCTGGCAGCAGCTCTGGACACAATGTGTGACTTGACTGTTCAGTGTGGCAGCCACTAACCACAGTGACCACTGTGCGCCCAAAATGTATGATCAAAGAACCAAATTTTTAAATTAAGTTTCAATAGCCACATATAGCTAGTGTCCAGTGTGCTGGACCATGCAAGCCAGAGGGCTGACTTTCCTGGAGAGATGATCACGTGCAAAGGCTCTGGGGCAGAAACAGTTCTGACAGGCAAGGAGGCTGAGCAGAGTGGGTCAAGAAGAGAAGAGGGAAATAAAATCTGAAGGTCACCAGGAGCTGAGGAAGGTGGTTGGCGTCTAAGTGTGGGTGCAGAGATGGAAGACTACACTCAGAGAAGTGTCGTGCACAGACTGGAGAGGGTCACACGCGCCGGGCATAGAGGATGCGTGTGGGAGATCTAGCCACCACGGGGAGCTGGAGCAGCAATCGAGGCAGCATGGTGACTTGGGCTGGCATGGCCACAACAGCGTGGGAGAAGCAGCAGAATCCGTGCTCATGTTTTAAGCTTTATTTTTAAATAGCTATCTCCGTCGGAAAGGCCCTATAGTGTCCCGTGCGCCATGACACGGTGCACCTCCGTGCACCAGCGTCTGGGGAAAAAACAAAGAAACAGTTTAACGTAAGAGAAAACGATCTATTCCAAGACGGAGAAGGAGGAAGAGAAAGACAGCAGACAGCTTCTCGGGACGGGTGGGGGCGTCCAAAGCGCGCCGCTCCAGATCTGTCTGCAGCGCCTTCCCCCGAGATGGGCGGCTGCCAGGGCTCCTGGAATCTGATTGGCTCGCTAGCTTGTCTTTCATCCCGACCTTGGCTTTCTTCTGCCAGGCGATGTTTCCCACGCTAGTGCAGGGTAAGGTGTCAGGTGGGGCCTGAAGGACGAATAGTTTAGGGTTAAGGAGAAGTGAAGCAGAAGTCTGCAGTCTGAACGTTAGTCACCTGGGAACTTGCCAGTCCCGAGTTCTTTGTCTTCCCAATTGCCTGAGTTTAGCCGCCTGTGCCCTTCTGACTTCTAGTCTGGCTGCAGAGGTCAAAACTGACTTAATAATTTTTAATGAAGCTCACGGAGGCCTTCATCCTATCTTTTTCCTATCTACAGTGGCCCCATCCCTACGCCTGTGTAACCTCCTGTCCACCAGCTGTGAGCCCTGGGCGCAAGGCACCTTCTCTGTCCCACTGTCCCTGTCACCTGATAGTGTGAGTTATGACTAGGATGTCTGGATAAAACAACGAGTGAGCTGGGTGTGGTAGCACACGCTGTCATCCCAGCACCTGGGAGGCTGAGACAGGAAGATCGCCCATGATCTACGTAGTGATCTCAAGGCCAGTCTGCACTACATAGGAAGACCCTGCCTCAAAAAAAAAAAAAAAAAAGGAAGGGCTCTGCGCCAGGCGGTCAGTGCTCGGGGGACCAGGTCTCAGTCCAGGTCGCGGTCACTAACCCCGAATGTGCCCTCCAGCCTGTGGCTGCTCCGAGCATGGACAGTGCGACGAGGGGATCCTGGGCTCCGGGCAGTGCCTCTGCGACAGCGGGTGGACGGGCCGCCTCTGCAACACACGAGCAGGTGAGTGGGGCAGCAGCCGCGGGCCCTCCCGGGGGTCAGGGAGGCTGGGGGCTGAGGGACGTGGAAATAACTGACAAAGCAGGTGTCCCTGCCACCCCGAGGGAAAGGGGTCGGGCTGTGGCCTTGGGCCTGGGGAGGCGGAGGCGGAACCAGCACACCTTCCTGCACGGGGCGGTGCCTCGCCGTTGCGGCCCGGGGGTCACACGGGTTCACGTAGCTTCACTGCCATCATCCCTGTCAGCGTTGTGACCGGGCAGTCAGGCTTCTGAGGCCTCCCCGAGCTCAGATCCCTCTGTCCTGGAAGTCTGAGCTGTGAGGTGATTGGCTGTACCTCTGTGAGAGTTCATCGCCTCTGCGGTCAGAAGGGCATCTCTAGAAGTCAGGCGTGGTGGGAGGCTGAGGTAGGAAGATCACAAGTTCAAGCCCCATCCTGGACCACTTAGAAAGACCCAGTCTCAAAATCCCAAAAACAGTTTCTAAAAAGAAAAAAGGCTGGGGATGTAGCTAAATGCAAAGGCCCTGGGTTTAATCTCCAGTTCTACAAGAGAGAGAGAGAGAGAGAGAGAGAGGCATCCCTAGTCTTCCTAGGGGGTCCGGCAGCTTGGAGTTCCAGGGACTCTAGCAACATGGCTAACTTCAGCTCCCCTGCCTCGTCCACAGACATCCCCAGCCCCACCTGCCCATCTACACCGCTACCCTGCCCTTCACCGTAGGGCCAGGCCAGGAGGGTAGGCAAGGAAAGGCTGCCTTGGAAGACAGCAGCATTTCTCCAGCACTTTAACCATCTCCCCCCACCGTTCCGAGGTCCCCAGGTCCTTGGGGCCAGACAGTTCATACCCCAAGTTCAACCCTGTTCACAGGTGTCGGTTGGAAAACTTTCCTGTTTGCCCCTAAGATAACACATTTGCACTATAGTCCAGGTAGCCTTGCAGAGCTGGCCACGGTACAGCAGTCATTCTAGACACTCAGACCCTGGGCGGGGAGGGACCTCAGCCAACCACTCCACCGTGTTCATGACACCGGGGCAGGAAGTCTCGGGAAGACTCATGGGTGGGCCCCACCTCCCCACCGGCGTGGGATGCATGGCAGCCTTTCTCTTTGCAGCTGTGTCCCCAGTGTGCACACCTCCCTGTTCCGCTCACGCCACCTGTGTGGAGAACAACACGTGTGAGTGTAACCTGAATTATGAAGGTGATGGAATAACGTGCACAGGTGAGTTCCCTCGGCACGCCTGTGAAAGCAGCGTGGTTTAGGGGAGGTCGCAGGACTGGGCACAGCGATCAGGCTCCCTCCTGGCCCTTCAGCTTCCTGTGTTCAACTCTTAGACAGCACTCACTCTCTCTGTGACTCGGTTTCCTTCGTGGGTATGCCCGCCACCGGCCAGCCCACTGCCCACGCCACGGTTTTACAACTGCTTTGCAAGGCAGGATGCATTTTATATTGCAGAGTATTTTTCTAACTCTCTAAGTAATACAGCCTTCAGAAAATGCACTGAATTTTTTTTAAAAAGGGAAGCCTACACATGCTCTGAGTCACAATGAGAAGCACTGTGGGCATGGCAGTGCCCATTCCTTGTAGCTAACATGTGGGCCTGGCCATTCAGGGTTACAACTGAACAGTGCATAAACAAGTTTATTTCTGTCCCTTGGAACAGCTGGGATTCCAAGGGTTCCCCTTCAGGGCTACAGTAGAGTTTCTCACTGAAGAGCGTCTGGGATCCCTTCTCTCTTTTTGCTCTGCCAATGTAATTTGAATGGCTCATGATGGCCACCACCATGAACACAACCCAGGCAGCAGGGTGGAGGAGGGAGAAGAGGAGAACCCCCTTCCCTTTTGGAGCACAGCCTACAGGTTGCTACAGTCAGGTCTGCCTCATCCCACTGGCTGGCACCCAATCGGCTCCCATACCTAGCTGCAAGGGAGCCGGGAAAAGGTTGTTTTGTTGAGTGGCCCACAAGAGAGGCCCACCAAAAAATCCATTTACTATAGAAAAGGATGAGAAAGTTAGCCACCCCAGGCAGAGACACTTACTGAGATTTTCCATGAAGCACTCACCTGGAGATACAAATTCTCTTTATGAAACACTATAGATTTTGCCAGTTATACCTGCTACCAGGCACAGGAAAGGTCAGCACTTGACAACGGCAGCAAAGACCAGCTCGCTCTCTCTTCCCTCCCAGCCCTAGTGGCAGAAGCTCTGCCCTCCTGTTTATCCTCTGAGTCTCAAGTGGCTGCCATGACTCTGCATCAGGTCAGGCAGAAGAACTCAGACACTAATATACTAACTCAGTTAGTATATTAGAGGCTGAAATTTGGGAGATTGTGAAAGCCAAGTTCCCCAAAGCCAACACAACACAGCAAGGCCAAATGAGCCTGAGTTAGCCTCCAAGCCCTGCATGTCTAGCTGTTGTCAGGTCCATGAAGCTCCCAGAGCCTCAGTTTGTTCATCTGCAGAACGGGGTTAACAATGTCTGTCTCACAAGGTGTCCCATATTGCGCTAACTCCGCACACATTAAAAACTCGAGCTCAGTCTGAACACCGCTACCCAAGTGAGCCTAGAAGTAGGTGACAGGGTGGACAGGGGGAACAGAGGCCACCAGGCCTGATCTGTGAGGGTATCACAGGACACTAGTGTTGCAAAGCCTCACACAGAGGCCGCAGGGCATGGGAGCAAAGGCACGGCCGTGCAGAAGCCCATGTGCTCCCCAGCACACTGGGGCAGGGGTGGCCGACCACCACACTCCTTCTTGCAGTTGTGAATTTCTGCAAACAGAACAACGGGGGCTGTGCCAACATCGCCCAGTGCTCCCAGAAGGGCACCAAGGTCTCTTGCAGCTGCCCGAAGGGCTACCAGGGAGATGGCCACAGCTGTATGGAGATAGACCCCTGCACGGACGGCCTCAACGGGGGCTGCCACGAGCATGCCACCTGCACGATGACTGGTCCGGTGAGTTGCCGGGGAAAGTGGGGCCGAGTGGCCTTTGTGCTGTTCTCAGCTTCACACTCCACCCGTTGGTCTCTGCTTCCTCTCTGGCTTCTCCCTGTGCTTTTTTCCACTCCTCTGCCTGTTTCTTGTTCAGTGCTGTATGGCATCTGTTTTAGTCACTTTCTCATTGCTGGAACAAGATCCAACACCGACAGTTTCAGAAGGAGAGGTTTAACTTGACTCACGGTTCAGGGGATTCAGTTCACGGCTGGCTCCAAGGCAGGAACCTCATGGCAGAAGGGTGTGGGCTGAAGAAGGCTGCTCACCTCACGGCCCCCAGGAAGCAGAGCTAAGGGAGGAGCCAAGTAGGGAGACGCATCCTTCCCGGTCACACCCCCAGTGAGCCACCCCTTCCAAGCCGGCCACCTCCTAACAGCACATGACACCATGTACCCGTCAATGGATCACAATGGGCACGGCGCCCCCGTGACCTAGTCACCTGTCGAAAGCTCCGCCTCAGAACACATGAGACCCTGGGGCAACGCTCTAAATCTAAACCCGAACAACATCCTGGGCAGAAAAGGGACATCAGCAGGAACTGTGAAACCCACAGAAAGTATTGTTTAGTTAACAGGAAATGACAGCATTGATTTCTACTTCCAACAAAGGCACTGTGGTTAGACGAGGTGTTAAGTGGGGAGGCGTCTACTGAGGGCAGCTGTGTCTTTGCAACACTCCTATAAATCTGACGTTATTCAAACTTTGAAGTTTATTAGAACAGGAAGTTGAGAAATGGCATAAAAGCGGCCCTTGCGCACGTCCATTCAGAATGGACGGTGCTGTGTGTCGGCCGCAGGCAGGCAGACGGCAAGAGCGACGCCCAGTCCTGGTTACGGGCGTGGATCTACATCAGGCACCTTTGAGCCTTGGCTCCGGGGCCTTCAGGCTGCCGGAGCCGGGCTTCTTCAGCTCTCTGAGCCTCGGTTTTCTCATTTGTAAAGTGGGCCTGATAATCAGACATCTTCGGTGGTCGTGGCGATTCCGTGAGATCATTTGTTGACCCCGTCGGTGGTCACCAAGCGCTTACTATGCGCTATGGCGTATGCCAGGGGCACAGCAGTAGGAAGAGCGGTGAGGTCCCTGCCTACAAGGAGAGGAGGAGGCCGAGCCACTCCGCGCAGAGAGCGGGGGAAGGGCAGGCGGAGCGGCCTTTACACTGAGATGGCAAGGGTGACCCTGTGCCCTCATGGGCCCTCACTGTCCCCCGCGGGTCCCTCTGCACACCTCTGCTGCTGGAGGGCGTCACGGGGGCGCCTGCCTGCCTCCTCTCTTCCTGCAGGGCAAGCACAGGTGTGAGTGTAAGAGCCACTACGTCGGGGACGGGCTGGACTGTGAGCCCGAGCGGCTGCCCCTGGACCGCTGCCTTCAGGACAACGGGCACTGCCATGCAGACGCGGACTGCACCGACCTCCACTTCCAGGGTCAGTGTGGCTGGGGCTCCCGGCCCAGAGCAATCTCTCTTCAGGCTGGGGAGGGCTGGGTGCAAGGGAAAAAAGAAAAGCAAACAAAGTAAAGCAGACAAAGAGCCCTTGTATCGTCCAGACCGGGGCAGGCAGCACAGCCGCGAGTCGGACAGGCAGGAAGGGCAGAGGCGTCGGTCCTGAGGGCGGCAGGGCGCTTGCTTTTCCCACAGTGCCGACTCACCCTGGCAGCCGGCACTGCAGTGGATCCAAGAGGCTCAGCTCGGGGTGGGCGATGCAGAACCCAGAAGTGCGGGGGCCCTTCCTTACCAAGGGTTGGGGTAGCAGCACGCTGTACTCCCAAGGGTGACTTACAAGGCTCACAACCAACAGCCAGCTCTCGTGAAACTAAGAAAACATAGCAAGTAAAAAGCCCTCTGGGAGTACAGAGCCCCGCATGCCAGGGGCATCTAAATTCCTTTGCAGAAAAACCACAGAGGACCCAAGCCACACACACTCAGTCCCGGGCCAGGGTGCAAGGGGACGCCACATCCTCAGAGCCGTCCCGGTGGTTACCCCGATCGGTACTTCTTGCGGGTGTCTGAGTGCATGGGGCTTGGTTTACAGCTGCGGACATTTCAGTGGGGTGGTTACCACACATCTCCATGGCAACTGCTGACTTCATACGTGTCAGATATCAAGCCCTGAGACGCGCAAAGCCCTGCTGAGCGAGAGAGAGGAAGAGGGGAAATGCGTGGGATGAGTAGACACGGTCTGCTCTGCCCGAGAGTCCCGGTGTAGTACAGGAAGTGGCTGTGTGTGTGGTGCTGGGGATTGAACCCGGAGCCTTTGCCTTGAGCTATATCCTCGGCCCGTTTTTATTTTTTATTTTATAACACGGTGTTGCTAAGTTGTTAATTGCCCAGGCTGGGCTTGAATTTGCAGTCCTCCTGCTTCAGCTTCACAGAGCGCTGGGATTATCAGCACGCACCATTGCACCAGGTTGCTCGGTTCTCTCTTTAGGGCGCAGTCACACAGCTAGTCCCGCCAGGGCCAGGTGGAAATTGCACCAGCCCAGAGCTTCGCCCCGCTTGCCAGGCCTCTCCTCCTTCCCATGAACACCAGGGCCGTGTAGATTAACCTCAGCAAGAAGGGGGCCTGGGTAGGGCCCGCCACTCCCCCGGGAGGAGGTGCCCTGTCCCACGGCTCTGGGGGGCACACAGCACAGCCCTCGTGGCAGCCAACTGGCAAATGTGCATCAGAGAAGCTTCCTGGAAACCCCGGGACTCAGCGCCTCCGTCTCAAGGAGCCCTCCTCAGAAAATCATCTAAGAATCCAATCAAAAGGGTGTTTCGACCCAGCATTCCTGAATGCCACAAAAAACCCAAACAAGCACATATCTGAAAGTAAAGGATGGTCACATATACCGCTACACCTCCACTCAAATACACCATTAAGAACTGTGTAGGGCTGGGGATATAGCTCAGCGGAAAAAGCACTTGCCTGGCAAGCGCAAGGTAATGAGTTCAATTCCCAGTACCAAAAAAAAAAAAAAAAAAAGAACTGTGTGATTGTGCTGGGCATAGCAGCACACACCTGTAATCCCAGCTAATCCAGAGGCTGAGGCAGGAGGGTTGCAATTCAATGACCTTGTCTCAAAATAAAAATAAAAAGGGCTGGCTGAAGATAAATCTCCGTGGTAGCGCATGATTGCTTAGCATGTGTGAGGCCCTGTATTCAATTCTCAATATTCTGTCCCCGCTTAAAAAATATGTGTGGTCTCAGCAGAAAAGGCACCTTGCCATACTTGAAGTGATCACACACCCTGTAGGCTACGGTTAAACTCCGTGGTGGAGAAAGTACCCTTCCGTAGTATTTTAGAATGGACTGGATGATACAAAAAGTGACTGCGTTCTTGTACTGTTGCTGGTCCCTGCACTCAGCTGTCTGGCTAGAAAAGATATCAGCTATGAACAAATAATAAAAACCATTAGGATCTTAAGGGTAACATGTTTTTCTTAAAAACATTTTTAAAAAGCACTCAGATCAAAATATATACAGAGTCACTTGCAGAAATATACCTTAATAGATGTTTTCATGGCTGTAAATGTTACAAAAATTATTCAGTTATAAATATGAGAAGAGAAATCATATTATCAGAGAAAATATATAATATTGACAAATAATCATGATTTAATGTCATTTCTTAATTTGTTAAAACTGTATGCAGTTTGCTACCATATGTATAACATATACCATGTACAAATGAGTGGGGAAAAAGACTGGAAGAATGTGGAATTATGTCAAAATTAAAACTTACCAAAAAACAGTAAAAGTTCCAGTGCACCACAATGTTAGCCAGGGAGCAATGGCCATTTCTGGAAAGTAAGATTGTAGGTGAATTTTTATGTTTCTGCAGTGCCCCAATTTCTACAATAAAAATGTGCTGTTTAATTTTATTTTTAACTGCACACAATAATTGTACACACAGAGTTCAGTGTGATGCTGGACACAGGCGTACAGTGTGTGATAATCAAATCAAGGGATTTAGCACGTTCCTAGCTCGTACCTTTGTCATGTGTGGTTAGAACATTCAAAGTCCTTTCTTCTAGCTACTGTGAAATATTCAGTACAGCAGCGGTAAGCACGGGCATCATACTGAGCAAGAGAACACCGAAAGTATTCCTCTTTTCTAACCACGGCTTTTAACCTCCTCCCCCACCCCTCCCCCATGCCCACCCCGCACCTTCCCCACGCAGCCTCTGGTACCCGCTCCTCCCCTCACCCATGAGCTTGACGTCTTTAGCTTCCATGTACGAGTGCAGTCGTGTGGTATTTTCTTTCTGTACCTGGTTTACTTTGTTAATGTCATGTCCTCCAGATTTATCTGTGCTTCTGCGATTAAGACAATTCCATTCCTCTTTGCGGCCGAATACATTCTGCATGTGACCGTACCACTTTTTCTTTGTCCTCCATCCATCTCTTGATGGACACAGAGGTTGACTCCAGATCTCGGAGGTTGTGGACATACTGATTTCACTTCCTTTGAGCAGACGCCCAGAGCGGGATGGCAGAATGATATGGTAGCTCTATTTTTAATTTTTCGAGGAACTTCCGTGTTGTGTTCAGTAATGTCTGTGCTAAAAGTTATATTCCCACAATACTGAGCAAGCATTCTCCTTTCTCCACATCCTCCGCAGCATTTTTAGTTTTTGTTTTTTTGATGAGAACCATTCTGGTTGTGGTGCTGTCTCATGGGACATGTGCTATTTTTGCAGTTAGAGAAGAGGTGTTTAAACAGTGTCTTCGGCATAACTCAGGGGACATGGCTTCTAAAGACATGTGGGGTACAATGTTCTACTGTGAAAGTCTTCCAGAGGGCTTTGGTGGAACCAGGGCCACGCAGATGGCTGGGCCAATGGGATGACTCCTCTCTCCCCGCTCTAGATACCACGGTTGGGGTGTTCCACATCCGCTCCCCGGTGGGCCAGTACAAGCTGACCTTTGACAAAGCCAGAGTGGCCTGTGCCAATGAAGCTGCAACCCTGGCCACCTATAACCAGCTCTCCTATGCCCAGAAGGTGGGTTCCAGGGAGTGGGCACTGTGCAGACAGCACCCATGGCAGGGAGGTGCCAGCTCTTCAGACGGGGGAGGCATGGGCTGTTGGCTTTTGGGGGGCAAATACAGGAAGCTCCTGGAGCAGTAACTCATCATATCCAATGTCAGGCACCCACTGTGTGTGAAGCACTGTTTCTGAGTGCTTTGTTGACGTTATTATCCATCCTTCAAACACCCTTGTAAGATGTTTTATAGTTAGGGGAACTGACGCTTGGAAAGATTGAGTTAAATGTCTAACGTCTCCCAGGCTAGAGCTGGTAGATCCATGTATTACCTTTCTCCTTGCTGCGACAAAATACCCAACACCCGCAACTTAAAGGAAGGGACGTTTGTTTCGCTTCACAATTTCCGTGGGTTCGGGCCATGGCCTGCTGGCTCCAAGGCAGAAGCAGCATGGCAGGGCAGCATGGCGGAGGAGATCTGATCGGCTCGTGACAGCCAGGAAGCAGAGAGAGAGGAGGAGCTGGGAGCAAGTCACACCCCAGTGAGCCGCTCCTTCTAACCGGGTCCCACCTTAGAACATGGGACCTTTGGGGGACATTTTAGATCAAGCCATAACAACCCAGTATGCACTTGTACTCTGTCTGACCCCAAAAGTCTATTCTTGACCACAGCTCCCAGCTGTTAAAGCAGAGGCAGAGACTGGAAATGTAGACCTCGCTGCTCAAACCAGAGACACCACCGTCCACGAGCCCGAGGTCTGTTCTCTCCGGACCTGCACACCAGCCCAGGTTCTCTGGGACAGCTGGAGCTCTGTGGCGGCAGGGCGGTGTGGGAACGCGTGGGGACTGTCCAGGTCCCAGCAGGGCGGAGCTGGGGCTCTCTGCTCAGGCTGCGCCCGTACTTAGCCTCTGAACCCAGAAGCCTGCCCACTGGAAAAGCCAGCACCCTGGTGTCACCTGCCGGTGGTTTCTCCCTGAAAGCAGAAGTGACTGTCTACAGGGTGTGACTTCAGGGCCCTTCCTCCACCTCCATCTCCACCAAAGCACTCTGCAGACCTGGTGTGTCTTTACCAAGGAGTAAAACCCTCAGATACCATGACCCAGGTCATGGAGGGCCTGAGTCTCTGCTGTCCTGCCTGCTCCTTGAATGGCCTTTTTTTTTGGTCTTTTCTGAGACAGGGTCTCGCTATGCAGTTCAGGTTGGCCTTTAGCTCACTTTGTAGCCCAGGCTGGCCTCAAACTCACAACAATCCTCCTGCCTCAGCCTCCCAAGTGCCGGGATTACAGGTGTGCACCACCAAGCCCAGCTTCTCCTTGTGTGGCCTTGATCAAGCCACTGAGCCCCTTTGGACTAATGGTAATACAGCACATAGTAGGAACTTGATTTTTAGGTTTATTAAGAGATGTGGAATGGACTCCCTGCCTTTGAATTTGCTCCCTGCTGTCTGTATGACTGAACCAGTTACTTAACTTCTCTTTGCCTCAGTTGCCAGAAGTATAGCATAAGGATTTTATTTTTGTTGTTGTTGTCTTTTTGTTTGTTTTCTTTTTGTTTTTGTTTTTTCTCCGGTACTGGGAATTGAACTCACTACCTCACACTTGCCAGGCACATGCTGTGCCACTGAGCTAAATCCCCAGCCCCAGCATAAGGATTTTAAAAGTTCCTAACTCATAGGGTTGGTCTGAGAGCAAAAGATGTTGACACATGAAAAGCTCTTGCAAAAGAATATGGCCCCAAAGAAATTCTCCAGTGACAGTGGTGATGATGATTATGAAGGAAAAGATGATGATGAATTAGACATCAGAGTTTTGTTAACTCATAATCAGAAAAAAATAGTACCAGGGTAAATGGCTGATTGCAAATCTTTTTATGAGTGTAGTTGTAGTACCTAATACAACCGGTACATACACACGGTGCACCTTGATCTTCTGCAAATCCTTTCTCAAGAGCAAAGGGCAGAACACTAGACATGAAGGACTTGGACACCTGCAAGAGCAGGAGGGCACCACATTCATGCGTCCAGTCCTTGATCAACAAAAATTCAGTGACCAGCCAGGCGTGGGGGTGCATGCCTATAATCCCAGCACTCCAGAGGCTGAGGCAGGAGGATTGCTGTGAATTTGGAGCCAGCTCGGCTACATAGTGAATTCAAGGCCAGCCTGAACTTCATAGTAAAACTCTGTCTCAAAAAGACCAAAAAAAAAATTAGTGACCCGGAGGGAATCAGGAACTGACCGAGAGGTTCCTGACAGATAAAGAGCAGCAGCTGACCCACGGTGATTCTGTGTCCCTGCAGGCTGGGTATCACCTCTGTTCGGCGGGCTGGCTGGACAGTGGGCGCGTTGCCTACCCCACAGCCTATGCCTCCCAGAACTGTGGCAGAAACGTTGTGGGGATCGTGGACTACGGGCTCAGACCCAACAAGAGCGAGATGTGGGATGTCTTCTGCTACCGCATGAAAGGTAACTGCCCCGGCCTCGCTTCAGGCTCCAGGCTGTGTTGCTGCCGAGCCACGCCCAGCCGAGCCAGCCCCAGCCAGTCTCCCAAGACGAGCCCCTGCCCCACTGGGAGTGGGACCCTGTGTGCCTCTGCTTCCAGATGTGAACTGCACCTGCAAGGCGGGCTACGTGGGAGACGGCTTCTCGTGCAGTGGGAACCTGCTGCAGGTCCTGATGTCCTTACCCTTGCTCAAGAACTTCCTGACGGTAGGTGCCAGGACAAGGAGGGTTGCCTCGTAGCACCTAGTACAGGCATGACAGCTTGAAAGAAACCAAAGGCTCACCATCGTCATGGTTAAGAGCTCGGGTGTTGGACCGCGTCCTAGTCACTTTCTCGCCACTGAGATGCAGTGCCCAGTGCTCACAGCTTAGAGGAGGAGCGGCTTACTGTGGCTCACGGTTCAGTCCATGGTTGGCTGGCTCCTAAGAAGAAGCAGCATGGCAGAGGGCCTGCTGGAGGAAGGCTGCTCACAGCATGGCATCTGGGAAGCAGAGAGTGAAGGGAGGAGTCGGGGAGGGAGATGAACCCTTCCAGGCTTCACCCGTCCCTTCTTGCCAGACCCTGCCTCCTAGCAGCAAGTCAACTCTGAGCCCCCAAAGTCCAGTCACCTTCAGAAGCCCCACGTGTGAGCCCAAGCATGAGCACAGGCTGTTGGGGACACCAAGATATCAACCATAACAGGCACCTTGTCTGAATTTGAGGCTTGGGTTTTCCACTCACGTGTTGCAAAACTGTAAGCAGATTCATTTCCTCTCTGAACTTCAGTTTTCTCACCTACAAAATGGAGGAGATGGCCGCCCCGGCCCCGGAGCATTGCTGTGATCACTGACTGAGTTGATGGTTGTGAAGCATTTAGACCCGTGGTCAGCACACAGAAAATTCAGTATTGGTGTTGGCTGGTGTTACTAGCTCAGCATTAGAGCAGTTTAAGAGTCTGATCTGCAGGTGTGCCGCCCCCTTTATCTCCCTAGACAGGGCGAGCATGGTTAGCCAGGCCTGTCTGGTGACCACCCACAAAGCCAGCTAACATGGGATCAGTTTGCATTTGGTGCTGCTCTTAAAGCCGCATCGGGACAGTCGTGTCCCAAGAAGAGAAAGCTCCGCTTGGAGACGGAGTGTGTGTTCGCTGGTGAGAGAATTCGGCTCCTAAGAATAGCCAAATTGTCTTGCATGCTACCCTCGCGCCGACCACTGAGCCCTGTGCAAAGACAGAGGAAAAGGATCTCTCCTTGCTCTGACTGCCACAGACCCCCAGTATCTCAGCGAGCGGCTGGCACATGATAGGTGCTCAACAAACGCTTGGTAGAAGGACAAGGTCCTCACACACAACCTCATGAGCTTACTTCTGTTGTTTCCACCTTGTCTGCAAAGATCCTTAGGACACAGCCTGACACCCTAGAACCGGGCTCAAATTCAGACTGTCGGGTGCTGGCCTCCCATCATCCCTTGCAGTGGGGCCCACGGCAGCCAGTGCCTGAGCCGCTGTTCCCAGGAGCACCGACGGTAGCAAGGTCAAGGCAGAAATGACACCCAGGACCCAGAGTGGAAAACCTTTGTGCACAACCCACAGGTGTCCGTCCTGCTTGTCTAAAAATTGAGGTTGCCACCGCGTGCTGAAGATAATAAACACTGACTGCAGCCAACATTTCCGCTGCTTGGCTATGCCAGCATTTCAGAGCAAAGACCGCAGCAGAACAAAGCTCCTCGGCACACGACTTACCTTCTCCGGGCCTCAGGAGCCCTGTCTGTGCAGGACAAAGTTCAGCAAGGTGGAGCCAGGTGTATCAGTGAACAAAACAGACCTGGATAAAGAGAACAAATAAACAGCACTAGGTGCTAGAAGGCGATGCCTAAGGGGAGAATAGAAAGCGTGGAGCAGAGGGGGAGGCGTGCAGGGCCCCATCCTGCTTTGGGAGGGGAAGCGGTCGCGGGAAGATGGTGCCTGCGCGAAGCATACACCACAGACGGGGACACGGGCGGGACTGGGGTGACCCACAAGTCAAAGGACTATTCAGGCCACCCTGCTGCGAGTGGCTAGGACCGTGGGATTCGCCGAGGGAAGAGAGGAAAGGTCTAACCCCCCTGAGGGCGGTGCAGGAGCTGACTAGGGGCTGGTGTGAGCGTCCGAGTGCGTAGTGCTCCGTGACCACCCCCCGCCCGGCTGCCCAGCTGACCTTGTCCTCCTCTCTGCAGGAGGTGCTAGCCTACTCCAACCGCTCAGCCCGAGGCCGGGCATTTCTGAGGCACCTGACGGACCTGTCCATCCACAGCACGCTCTTCGTACCACTCAACAGTGAGCTGGGGGGCAACGAGGTGCGTCGGGCTCCCTGGGGAGTCACACGAGGGATCGGTCACCACGCCAAGGCTGGGTCACAAGTGACCCTAATACGCAGTCTCCACAAAGCTGTCAAACTCATCCAGCAGCGGGTCAGCTGCCCTCCCTCTGCTGTCATGTGCTGTGGTCTGAGATCAGCCCTCGGTGGCCACAGCGGGGTCCCTGGCTCTCCCCCACAGCCTCCTAGGGTGCTCCCACAGCAGTGGCGGGAACGAGGGGAGCCCAGTTTGCCGGTGTTTTCCAAACCTTTGGTCATGTCTGCTCACATGCAGCCGGACGACAGGCCACATAGCTGAGCACGAAGTCAGAGCTGGAAGCAGAGTGAGGCAAAATACAGGGAGAGGTTGGCTGGGCGTGGTGGCGCACGTCTATAATCCCAGCACTTGGGAGGCTGAGGCAGAAGGATCACTGTGAGTTCGAGGCCAGCCTGGGCTACATAGTGAGTTCAAGGCCAGCCTGTCTACATAGTGAGAACCTGTCTTTAAAAACAAACAAAAAAAACTGCCTTAAGAATACAGGGAGGGGCTGGGGATTTAGCTCAGCGGCAAAGTGCCTGCCTGGCAAGCGCAAGGTCGTGAGTTCGGTTCCCGGTACCGGAGAAAAACCAA